GGATTCATGACAAATTTAGTTAGGCCAATAACAAGTTAAGTAAGGCCAATGACAAGTTTCAATAAGGTTTTTATACAATTTTAAATTTCTCTGTTTGAAATGAGAATTTGCAGATTTCTTTGACAGCAAGCACTTCATATAGGATTCATGACAAATTCAGTTAGGCCAATGACAAGTTAAGTAAGGCCAATGACAAGTTCTGATAAGGTTTTCATACGATTTTAAATTTCTCTATTGAAATGAAAATTTGCATATTTCTTTGATAGTAAGCACTTCTGATATAGGATTCATGACAAATTTAGTTTGGCCAATGACAAGTTACGTAAAACCAATGACAAGTTCTGATAAGATTTTCATACGATTTTAAATTTCTTTGTTGAAATGAGAATTTGCTGATTTCTTTGACAGCAAGTACTTCTGATATAGGATTCATGACAAGTTTAGTTAGGCCAATGACACGTTAAGTAAAGAATGACAAGTTCTGATAAGGTTTTCATACAATTTTAAATTTCTCTGTTGAAATAAGAATATGCAGATTTCTTTGACAGCAAGCACTTCTGATATAAGATTCATGACAAATTCAGCCAGACCAATAACAAGTTAAGTAAAGCCAATGACAAGTTCCGATAAGGTTTTCATACAATTTTAAATTTTTCTGTTGAAATGAGAATTTGCAAATTTCTTTGACAGCAAGCACTTCTGATATAGGATTCACGACAAGTTCAGTTAGGCCAATGACAAGTTAAGTAAAGCCAATGACAAGTTCTGATAAGGTTTTCATACGATTTTAAATTTCTCTGTTGAAATAAGAATATGCAGATTTCTTTGACAGCAGGCACTTCTGATATAAGATTCATGACAAGTTCAGTTAGACCAATTACTAGTTAAGTAAGACCAATGATAAGTTCCGATAAAGTTTTCATACAAGATGAAAAATGCACAGCTCATGACTTCAATTGTTTATATATTTTTTTTAAAAACAAAAGATAGAAGGAATATAAAAGTTCAGCTTGTCCACACTCCAAAAACTTCCCAACAAAATAAAGCTTATCATTGAACTCACACATTGCCATTCATTTATGAATAAAGAGAACATAAACTCAAAGAACAAATCAAAGAACATTAAAGGGGAACCCTCTGTGTTTAGCTTCGTTCTCTACTTACAAACCAATCAATGAATCAAAGGGAAGAACAGAACAAAGAAGACAATATTCGAATCCCCCTCTTTGGGTATGGATTCAACAAAGAGTGAATCAAAAGATGATACACTTTCATCTCAAGCTACATATATGGAGAGCATCCGATACAGAAGATGAGAACGATTCCTTCGTACTAGCAGTGCCCGCCGTCGCCACCGCAACTATCTTCAATTTCAACCCAGAACTCGGTGACAAAAGGGAACCCAATTCCTTACCTGAGCTAGGCTTCGACAATGTCCAGTAGAAGTTTTGCTGAGCTTGATTCTTGTTTGTCTTGGTATCCTTCATCTTAGTCCCATCATTTACTTGCTTTGGAGAAGAAATGAAGAAGACGGACACAAGAACAAAGAAGATGATAGAGAAAGAAGAGAGAAGAGAGAATCGGGAGATATGGGGTTGGGGATGAGGAAATGGGTTAGGGTAGAAGGAGAAGGGAGTAGGAAAGAGATAGACGAAGAGAGGGAGAGGAAAAGAAGAAGAAAAGAGATTGGAAAAAAAACAAGCAGATGGGCATTTTTGACTTTTGCCCAACATTTCATAATTCATATTTAGGACCCGGTCTTTGGTAGCAATTTTGTTAATTCAGGGTCCCATTTTGCCATTTTATATATTCAAGGGTCTTTATTTGCCATTTTCCCTAAAAATAAACATTATCAAAGTATTATTTAAATAAAAATATCTTAAAACATATATTTTCAAATTTATATATTATAAAATCAAATAATTTTAAAAATATCTCAACTCCATGGTTCTTTGACCTCATCCATATAAGGTGTTAATTGGAAAACAAATCATGATTTTAAAAATAATTTTATGATATACGAAATAAGTATGTGATAGGAGTTTTATTTTAACTCACGTGAAAGTTCTAGGTCATATTTTCTTCCCATGTTTTCAATTCATTCCTCCCATTCTCTATATTACTTATCCGTTTTATTTATCTATTTTACATAAATCAAGAAATAAAAAAAATGCTACAAGGAATCTTTTAATCTAGGGTTAAGGTGTATCCAACACTTTGAAATATTTTCTCGGATGCGTCCAGCACCCTAAAGTATTTTCATGTGCATCCAGTGCCTCGAAGTGTTTTTTAGGGGCGCCCAGCACCCTGAAATATTTTTTTGTCTTGATGCTAGATGTACAAAAATATATTTTTTGGGGCTAGACACACTTAAAAAATATACTTTGAGATGCTGGATGTAAAAAAAAAAAAATACTTTATGGCACTGGACTTACCTAAAAAATACTTTAGGATGCTAGACACTACAAAATACTTTAGGGTGCTAGATACACCCGAGAAAATATTTCGGGTTGCTGAATGCACTTTAACCTTTTAATCTAATACATGAACCTCTCTTAATTCCCACTTGTCATCTTTGAAGGCTACTCTTCCAGGATGGTTGCTTGGTCCTTTGTGTGTGTGTGTGTGTGTGGTGCCTTGGTATAACGTATATAATTCGTCTTCTAAACCGAGAAGAACAAAAAGATGGACGCATCAATCACTCCAATGGCCACTAATAAGAGGTAATCCTAATCCTACCCACCACTAATTAAATTGATCCCATACATGTTCAATTTTCTTTGATAATAATGTTAGTTAATCTTCTGTGCAGGTTGGAAAGCGAAGTGGCTTTCATAACCGGTGCTGCTAGCAGTATCGGTGCCACCACTGCCAAGGTTTTTGTTCGTCACGATTCCAAGGTTTTAGACACACGTACTTTTTTATCGGAGACAATCCTATTCGATACACTATCAGGTATTAAATGTAGGTGTCTCTTACAGTAAAAATTTGAATTTTGATTCATCACATTGAGGGAGACTAGTTCAACATGTTTTCTTGGGCCTGATGTCGTTAACTTGTAGTCCAAACTTCTTTCAGGCCCAAACTTATCTTGGGCCTGTTACCCGGCCCAAACTTCTTATAAGTGAAATTGCTGTATACGGAAAAAATTGAAGCAGAAGTTGCTTGTGGGCTTCTTGCACTTGATATTTGAAAATATGAGAGGTTGAGAGATTTGAATATGCTCTTAAAATGCAAAACACTGGTGACAGAGAGAGAAAGAGAGGCAAATGAAAACTTTTAAGAAATAAACAGAGAGAGAGAGAGAGCACAAATGGTGTTATTTGTTATTGGAAGTTGTTAGATCTCATTAACAATTAAATGATTGTATACGTAACTTGTTTTGAAAGAATCTGGGGGAATTTGGCATCCTTTAAAATCACTTAGTAAAGCTAAAACTCATTTTACATAATTACTCCGTATATTATAAAATCATATAACATGTCAGTAGGCATATTTTAGAAACTATTTTAATTTGTGCAATATCTGTATGAAAATATGGAGCAGAGTATATACAATATTCCGATTGGTATGATGAAAGTTGAAATGAACCAAGTGGAAGTGGGAGAAAGATGGAAAAATGTGTTTAAAATGATAATTATATCGATATGTTAATAATTTGTTCAATTTAATTACTAAAATTAGGAAAATATTAGAAAACCTGTGAAATCTTTTAAAAAAATTCAAACCTACGAGATCTTAAGTGCCAATGGAGTTTCTGTCAAGGTCATAGAGCATGGAATGAACATGAAGGGGAGAATGGGGGTAATATCATTTTTTGTTGTTATACTTTGATCAAATTCTAATTTTAATTCCTGTGATTTTAAATTGTTGGTTTTCATGTCTATATTTAAAATTCAGAATTTTTTTAATGAAACTATATGAGCAAAAACCAATTATTTAAAATTATAAAGAGCAAAATTAAAATTAGATCAAAATATAAGAATCAACAATGATCCTACCCTGTAATCTTTTCATCATGTGAAAAAAAATTTGATGTGACATCAGTTGTATAGAAGTATATTTCTAATGCCTTAACTTTATATAAGATTTTATTTTAATTCTTTTAAGTTTAGGAAACACATTTTTAGTCTTGTAATTCTAAGTTTCTAAGATATATCATTAACAAAAAAAATAAATTAAAAATTCTAGATATCAATAAAATATTTTTCAATGCTAATATGTATTATAATTTTTAAAATTAAAAATAATATATATAATTATTATATGAAACTAATAGTATTAGAATTAAACAAGTGAAAGGATAATTTATAGAACTAAATAATCAAATTAAAGACGTACCATATTTTCGCTTTAATTTAAATTTAAATGGAAAAAGGAATATGCTAGAGCATCGCTTTAAGAAGCGGACCACGTAAAGCCGCACACTCGGGCACGTCACCATGACCACTCAGCAATCTGTTAATCAGAGCGTGATCTCACCTGCCACGAGAGCGCGTGTGGAAAATCCGGCTGCTCCCATGTCAAAAGCTCACAGGCAGAGAGGTGAGTAGCGTACATATGACTCGAACCCCGCGAATCGAAGCTTTTTCCTTTCATCTTTTCACAATCTCTTGACTTTCGCCGAAGCAAGCAAAGCATTTTGGTGCATCAGATTAGCCCCTGCTTCGTTTTTCTTCTTCTTCTTCTTCCTCTTTCGCGCCCAGAACTCATATCCGTCGATTCTATCGCCTCAACTTTCGATTCGTGCTAGGTGATTCCCTTCCCTCAAAATCTTGCTTCGTGTTCGCTTAAATTTCATCTGTTTTTTTCCCGCTTTAATTGATTTATAGCCACCTGGGATGACCATTCTCCGTGCCCTATTGCTCTGCTTGTTTGCATTTCCATGTTTGGCCTGCCTCTCCATGAATGCAGCAGAGGGGCTTGCTCTTCTATTGATATGTACTAGTATAGTGTCCCCCCCCCCCCCAAAAAAAAAAAACTTCTAACTTTTTTAACCTATTGGTTAGGTTTTTGTTTTTGTGATTCATATATGTGGAAGCTTGAATTACCTGAATGGGAAATTTGGCTGTGCTTTAGTTCTCAGTTTTTGCTTTTATCTCATTTCCTGGTTTTCGCGGCATTCAAGCAGACCATTCTATGTTTTATTTATTTATTTATTTTTTTGGGTCTGGTAAATTTTTGCTGACTGAAGGCGTATTTTTCAATTTTGTGATTAACTATTAGGGTATGATTGGATCTGAGACATCAGATATGTAAAGTTAGGAACATGTGCCTCTTATCCTTGCTCCATGTTCCGGCTATTATTTTATTCATCATGCTTGCTGTCTTTGTTTGCTACTCTTCCTTCTGGACACGTGGTTGATTTGGGCATTTGATTTGAATATCTTACTTTGATTTTTTCTTTGGTTGTTAAATTTATCTCTTCCCGGATCCCTTTGGTTTTTTGAACTGATCTGTCGGACTCAAACTCTGGAATTACGAGGCTGGTGAGTTTTTCCTCCCTGATACGAATTTATGCATAAAAGTTGTGCCTTTTTACTTCCATTTTCAACAAACTTGAAGTTGAAGTGAAAGTGTGAAACACATTTGGGTGCACAATTGGGCTACTTATGGTAATTGCCTTTCTTTAAAGATAAATGTTTGCATTGAGTACTTATTCCATTAATCCACCTATATGTTCATGATTATAATTTACGAGGCCATTATCTTATCCAAAGATGGCTTTTGTATCATTTTGGCATGTATTCTTTAGTGTAATGATAGCATTCGCAATGCAATTGGGTGCTTCTATTTCCAACAAATTTACTTTCTTTTCTCCTATTCTTTTTATTCACTATTCTCGTTCACAAGCTATTAAATTTTCAACGCTTGCCATAGTGATCTGTGCTGATGCGGATAATTTGCCTGCTGATGCGAGAATTGTGGATATTTCATCTCCACCACTTTCTTAAACTTCCCTTCCCTTTTTAAAGCTTTGTTTAGAAGATAGCAGATTTGTTTTTTAAAAAAAAAACAGTTTTTATGGAGAAGACGCTTCCCGTCTAATGATGTTAAACATCTTTTCTCCCCTTGTTTTGTGGATTTTTCGTTATTGCACAAGAATTTTGAAAACATTGATCTGGGAGGGATCATTTTATCACTTGGGACGTATACTATGCATTTCCAAATATGTTCTATTTTTCTTTTCTCTTTCCTCTGTTTCTTCTATGAAGTTATTCCTTGAAGTATTTAGCACATCTGAACAATTGTAGTTCCTGATTACTGAATGCTGCATTGCGATAACGTTACTAGTTAGCCCGAGCCTCTCAATGTCAACTACTTTTGCACACTTCGAACTAAATAAAGGTTGGAAAAACTGACTCCTGATCCCATCTAGTTACTTGACCAGGCCTATGCTGGGCATCTTCCTGTCCTACTGCATATGTATGAATGGTGTCACATTCTTCTACAAGTTTACTCATAATGCTAGACATGCTGTGTTTCCATTCAGCTGTTAATCTCTTCCAGATATTTTTGTTTCAACCACCTTGTTTAATAACGGATGACCATCCCTTTATTGCTTTACATCTTCATCAAACAAAGATGCTCCTGTCTCGAATCACCAAAACAAAAAAAACAAAAAAATTGATGCTCCTGTCTGGAGTGATGCTTCAATTGGGACTTGACTTGCTGATGACTTGCTTTGTCATGCTTCAATTGATATCATAATTAAAGAGTGACCTAATAGAGCATCTGAAATTTGTTAGTTTTGAATTTGTTGTTTTATAAGTGTGACTTCTTTTTTGATGAAGTGGCACTTTTCTCTTTATATGGTTCTCTTTTTATTTGATAATCATCAGGTGGAGAAAATTACTCCTGGCTTGTAGTTTACTTCTATAATATTTGACCGCAATTCATAGGATCGTAGCTTTGTTGGGGTGAGATTACTCTTCTTTTAAGGTCTGCTTGAAGAAGGATTGCATCATAATTTTGCAAAATTGAAATTGGATTTCAGAATTTGTTGAATTTTGTTTGGTCACTAACTTGGCATGTGCTGGCAGAATATATGAGATCACTTCTCCCATGTTTCTGGCTGCATTCAAGTATTGTGACATTTTTTGTATTAACATTGCATTTGAGATGATGCCACATAATTAGGTTTACCTGGTGGCCACTGATTGCTATTGCCATTTATATAAAAAAACAGACAAGCATTATTTTACCAACCTTAAATCTTATAAATCAGCATGACTTGCTGAAATTTTGTAGTCTGATTTCCAGGTTTAGTTGAGATTTGAAAATGGCAAAAGGAAGCAGGGGACGACGCACTTCCCGTCAGTTCAGGCTTACTCCATACCCTCTTCCTTCCTTGAAAAGAGACATCTGTGAGAATTTGTGCACAAAGAAATGCTCAAAGGTTTTGGATAAAAAAGAATGGGAAGACGTGACATGTTCTGTGTGCATGGAGTACCCACACAATGCTGTTCTTCTCCTTTGCTCTTCTCATGACAAAGGTTGTCGTCCCTATATGTGCGGCACTAGCTTTCGTCATTCCAACTGCCTTGATCAGTACAAGAAAGCTTACACAAAAGTTGTCTCTTCTAATAATGGACAGGCAGTGCAAGGCTCTGTCAGTAATCCCAGCCTATTACCAGATTCAAACTTGCCACATGAGAAGGATGAAGTCACAGTGCTGGCATGCCCCCTATGTAGAGGTCAGGTCAAAGGTTGGACAGTTGTCAAACCTGCAAGGGAGTATCTAAATGCGAAGAGGAGAGGCTGCATGCAAGATAGCTGCTCATTTGTGGGGAACTACAAGGAATTAAAGAAACATGTGAGGGCAGAGCATCCCTCAGGATGTCCACGTGATGTGGATCCTGCTGATGAACAGAAATGGAGATGGCTTGAGTGGGAGCGTGAGCGGGAAGATGTTATCAGCACAATAACATCAGCCATGCCCGGGGCAATGGTTTTTGGTGACTATGTGATTGAGGGAAATCATCGAGATCTTGGCGCAGATGAAGAGGAGGGGGCACTTGATGCAAATGATGCAGAAGGCAATGGAAGATTTCAAATGAACATAGACGCTATGAATTTCTTTCTCCTATTGCATGCTGTTAGACAAGGGAATGACCTTAACAGGCGGCTAAGGCCTGAGACGGAGCTGCCTTCCCATCGAGTGTCAGGTCAAAATGGTGCCCGTCATACAAGTCCTGTTGGCAGGTTGGATTTCTCGGATCATGATGATGATAATGAGAGGTACAGTGAAGGTGACGAAGATGGTATATCCCTAGTTAGCCGTTTGCATCGTCATGAGAATGGTGGAGTTCTGCTAAGTCGCTCAGGCAGGAGGCGTAGGCGTAGAGCACACACTGGTGGGCGGTAGTTAACAATATCATGCTGGAATCTGGAGGTGGGAGAAGCACAAGTTTGTTAGGGATTTGTAGGTTCAAAAACTTAAGCCACATAAACTGGGTTGACTTGACACCCAGTTGCACTGATTTTTTCCGGGATATAGGAAAATCAAAAGGTGGGCAATTTATTTCTCTGTTGTAATTTCTTTCACATGTAAATTCAACCTTCCTCCTATCATTAATTGCACATTTCATTGTGAAATTTCCTTGTGTAAGTTTGAAATTATAAAATTTCTAACATCGCCTTGTAATGGCTGGATGCTTCTGAAAATTCAAATAAAAATTTGGCGGCATGTGTTTCTTCACGACGTTGACGAACTGCAGAGCCTCGCATAGTGATATAAACGTACTTCCTCTTTATAATTTTAACCATTTTATAAGGACCAAGAAAACTATTGCAGTTAATCGGTATCCTTATAAATTTTAACTTTTTAATATGTTCTTGAGCTAATGCATTTGGCTTTCATTGTGATCTTCTTTACTAATAATTGTTATTAGTATTTACATGACCTTTTTGCTTCTCGGGAGCATCTCACGTATAATCATGAAAGTTAATATAATAGACAACTTTAAAAAAGATCTTTAAGAAGGGCCAATGGAAACTTAAATAGAAGGCTCTTGTTAAAAAGTAAACGTGAGGGGGTATTAAATCTGTCGTTAATGTATAATAAGTTTCCGATCAGCCACATAGTCGAAAGAATTGCTAAGCATTGGATCTGTTATTAATGCATAATAAGTTTCCGTTCCGCCACATGATCGAAAGAATTGCTAAGTTATAAATTTGAAATGGGACGAAAACTTGCTACTACTAATCTTAAATGTTAGTTCAAACATCAAACTAGACCAACAAACTCTGTAAATCATCCAACAGTTAGGCCCAAGATTTGGCATGTGAGTTTTCACGCATTGCTGCTTGAAGAAAACAATGGAGTCAGCACCAAGCAGCCATACTTAGCTCAATGTAAAGCAAAATTTAAAAAAAAAAAAAAATGTGACAACATCAAACACTATACACCGTCAAGTATACGTCTCTTTCAACCCTTACAGCTAAATTGAAAATTGATACATAACTTATGAATTGACATCAAATATTCGTACTTTATGTTACATTTAAAGAATGGGGTGTATGGGATATATTCTGAAGTTCAAGAAGCATGCTTCTTGAAAATGTTGGCCTCTAATACTGTATTTCTGAACTCGGGGGGAAAAAATCAAAGAATTTACAAGCCATTTATGAATGCTATGCTATATAACCGACGAGTCTAAAGATCCTTCTTCCTCCAGATTCTTGTTGGAACGCCATAACATACTGGGGACGCTCCAATCAAGAAAGGGAGGGTGCAAGCTTCACGTGCCTGACTCATGAATGATGCAATTTTGGGTCTGTGATCACAATTACTCTTAAAGGTGTCACTTTCACATTCTTCTATGGCTTTCTTTCTAGAAGATTTCTTTTTTGCTTTACCCTTGCCCTTCAAGTTCATGGCCTCAAATTCTTCTGATAATGAATTACATTGCAAACATTCCCCAGAAAAATTTAATCTTTCTTTCAACCAGGCATCAAGCATAGCCTTCCCAAACCGATCTATATCCTTGTCTGTCACCTCCCACAGATTGGCAACTATAGCTGGAGAACCAGCCAGAAGGTATGAAAGGGGAATACCTTGTGGGGCGTAGCTCCCATGTAAGGTCAATGAACCGCTGCTGCATCCCATTAAAAGTGTAGCAGCACATTTATCAAGCTTCTGAATCTCTTGCCTGGAAATGTATTGTGCTCCTGTAATGCAAAGCCATTACAGATAAATCATAATATATGTAAGGGCCCTGAATGACCAAGAGGAATTTTGCTCTATTGATAAATTTCTTTGAACTTACCGCTTCCATGGCCAAAGTATATAAAAAGGTCATGGCTTTTCAAGGCTGCAGCTAATTCTTCCACGGTGGGTCTGAAACCTGCCTTACCCTGTAAATTAATAAGAAAATTCAAAGCCTTAATTGTCCAGTGGAATATCCTAGCATTTCTTCCATAATATTGTTAATTTTTCTTTTTATGAAACTAGCACCAGCCCAGTTAATGCGGTTGTACAAGAAGAAACAAAATTATCAAAAAATTGCATGTAATCCGGCAGAAACAGTTAAACTACAGTTCTGATTCAAACTGGTAATTTACCTCTAGGTTTTGACCTCTAAACCAATTCTCAAATTCAGTTTGAGTGCTAGTAGATCACCATCTGGGTTCAATAGATAAAAAGCGTCCTGTGGATCTATCAAAGGAAAAGACATTGAATTCCCTTCTACTTGCTTGTGATGGGTGCTGCCCCTCTCAAGAAGGCAAGAGATGCTGCTAACTGATGGCATGCGATAGACCTCCTGGTTTCTTAGCACCGGCAAACTTTCCCAAGGAAGCATCTGTCAGGGTAATGGAGCTTGTTATTGATTCAGTATATAAAGGCCAAGAAAAATCAGTGTTTAAAAACGCAAGACTCTGGGTTTTGGCCGAAACTTAAATGACATGCCCCTTGCGCTTGAGTCATCCTTTGCTTAAAAATGAGAATACCCTATCTGACTCAAAAGCAGGGCTAGAGAATACATGTGCTAACTGATGCACTATCTTGGTCACAAATCGGAAATGCTGCAGCTCGGAATGATGTGATTATAGAATGAAGACATAAAATGTTGCAGAGATACGGGCCTCTAAACGCCACAACTCATGGCACCTGAGGTAGCACAAGCTTAACATAGCACGCAGCCGCAGCCACGCATCATAATTCAAATTGATATATAATACCAAATCAATCAATAATGAAACTATCGACACACATTATAATTAAAAAATAAAAATTTACCTTCATATTTTCATTCGATTCTTATTTTGGGCCCTATAATATAAAAATTTGTAATTGGGCCATTACAATTTACAATTTTTTATAAAATTTAAATCTTACTGTTAAAATTCCATCAAAATTCAGTTAAATTTTATCAATACGTAATAAGTACTGTCTTAAAAATCTCTCTCTCTCTCTCTATATATATTCATATATTTATATATATATATAAAATATATATATACACACTAGCAAAGTAAGATTTATATTTATATACCAATGAAGGTAAAAACTATAGCTAGCAAAGTAAGATTAAAGCACACGGGAAAAAAATCACAAAACTGCAACAATATGGACTAAATCAAAAATTATTTCAACGAAAAGGATTTAATCACAATTTGTTAACTTATAAGGACCAAATTAAAAATTAAGTCATGCTATAAGAATCAAAAGCATATTCTAAGCAAAAACCAAGCATTGTTATATACAAATGAAGGTAAAAATTAAACTAACAAAGTAAGATTAAATCACACGGGAAAAAATGACAAAACTATAACAATATGGACTAAATCAAAAATTATTTCAACGAAAAGGATTTAATAACAATTTTTTAAATTATAAGGACCAAATTAAAAATTGAGTGAAGCTATAGGAATCAAAAGTATATTGTAAGCAAAAACTAAGCATATTTGTATACAAATGAAGGTAAAAATTATAGCTAACAAAATAAGATTAAATCACAAGGGAAAAAAATGACAAAACTATAACAAAATGGACTAAATCAAAAATTATTTCAACGAAAAGGATTTAATCATAATTTTTTAAATTATAAGGACCAAATTAAAAATTGAGTGAAGCTATAAGATTCAAAAGTATATTGTAAGCAAAAACTAAGCTTACATTGAAAAGGAAGAAAAAAACTCAAAAATCACCCAAGATTCAACTTGGTCATAAAATACATCAACCACTTAATTCATGGAAATGTCAATGGAAACGCAGGTTAGAAGCCTAATTATCATCCAAGAGATCTAACAGAATGTAAAGAAAATCATGATGAACAGAAAATCCTGTCATGTTGTTCCAATATACTTTCGCTGCGAATTGCAGCTGGAAAATTGAAGTGGTGATTGGCTGGTGTAATGTAGTTGCTGGAGATCCTGAACTGTCAAAATTACAGATGACATTTATCTCTGGACAAAGACAAAGGCAGTAGAGTTGATATTGCTTTGTTTTACATGGGCGCTACAAACAGGCTGCTATAGCGAATACAGTGCTTCAAATAGCCGGGCTACGAAAGAAGTTTTTATGCTACAACTGTAGCATAGCGCAACGACATCGTGGATGGCTACAGGTATAGTGGGTTCTTATTAACTTTCAATTCAATCTGAGAAATAATTATCAACATACATATTTGTATAGAGAGAGAATGAAGAAAACGAATTTTACTAACATTAACTCTACTATGTTACTGCAGGACGTGTTCAAAAGCATTTAACAAGAATTTAATGGTTATAATTAATCTTTTATCGGCATGCATACCTGAATGTCATAATCCAACACAAGAATAATTGGCTCCCTGCTCTGTTCCACTTCAAACATGTTTAATGTTTCATTTAATATTTGAAACGCAAGCTCAGATGACGTCCCAAATTCACTGGCTGCATTTGACGTTATGCCACGCCATGCTTCATCACAGTAACCTACTTTAGCAATATAGCAGCCTTTTTTGAAGCAGAGTTGCGAAATCCACGTATCTCCTTCAAAGTCATTCTTGGAGCCTAGAATGACTTTAAGAATACCCTCATGGACATCCAATTTGCATTTAGATCTTAGATCATGCACAAGCTTCTTGTGCACCAAATCCAAATTCTTGTGGTCCAACCATTCTCCGAGAAGCAAGTATTTCCATGAACCAAACCATGAATCTTCAATGTTCCTGACAAATTATAGTAAGGCAAATGTGAATGGGAAGATAAATAATAGTGTCCCCTCACCCCCCACCCCAAAAAAAAAAAAATTCCAAAATTTTTATCCATGGTGTTTGTGCATTGTGCCAATGACTTTCGGGATTCGTTATAATAACAAATAAGCGAAATTATTGTCACCTTGAGCAAAGCTATTCAATAATGAATGGTGCCAAGAAGAAAAAAGGTGCATAGAGGGCTTGAGCGGTCAAAACAGTCAAGTTCTTTCGCTAAAAAATGCACCTCAATATTTTATAGTTAAATTTTCAACTTAAAATTCACCCAATAATTTTTAAGACAAATCTCAAGGTATACCAGTAGAGAAGTCACGCTTTCTAGAATCACCCAAAAAATTATGTAGGCTTTTAGGGCAATTCAGATTGACATGTGAAAATATACCCAAAAATAACAGTGCAGGCTTGAAACAGAAGTCAAATTGAAGTGTCAAAACATAAAGCAGGCGATGCACCTCAACAATTTATTAAGGCGCTGATCAAGCTTCATTCTCCACTTCCACCACAGCATCCTATTTCTTTTTGTGTCTTCCAAAGGGAATACTGAGGAAGAGTAATTTTCTTCCAATATCGTTTTGAAAGCAGGAACTACATTGTCAACCGCTGCAAAACCCCAAGGACAGTGCCAGGGCTTACTTGAGTTCTCACACTCGGAAAGAGTACCCAAACCAGAATTTGCTTCATCATCATCATCTTCTGCACTTGGCCACAAAAAAATACAAATTAGCATGTCAAAATGTCTAACAGAATAAGCCTGTACAATATACTATACATGTATAAATGCCCAAGTCCACATAAGCTAAATACCTTCTGAAATTGAGTCCACAGGTAGTAACATCACAACAGGTTCAGTCTTGGAACTAAATCGCGACACCAACATCCAGGCATCAACACACGTAGGATGAAGCAGCAATTCTTGTAGCAAACTAGTATAATCTCTTCCAAGTAAACTTATACTGACAATTGTCGTAGAAGGAAGACCAACCAAAAAGTTCTTCACACGTTCTTCAAGATCTAAAGTGGCCTCCGGTGCAAGCCTGTGACAGCAATGCTTCATATTGCATGTGAATTCACTCTTTTCTCTATTCTGCAATCACAAAAGCTATTCCCTATGTCACTCGTCCCTTCCCTGATGCAGGAAGATGCAGGAAAAAGGTATACCCAGAAGTTGTGAAATCAACCACTTCTTATTACATACTACAACATCAGCCTACGATGCTGGAAAAAAGAACAATAAATCTCTGAATATTAGTTGATATTGTCACGTTTAGGATAATCCAAGAATAAAACTCCATTTTGATCCATCCTCAACTGGATCCCTAAAAGATTTTTGTATCACTCTAGTACTTTAAAATTTGATTTCTTCCAGTTTCATCCTTCTAGAAGTAGAAAATTTATATTGCACGATCTTTTAAGGAGCAAATATCCGTTATGAATGAAACATATCAAACTTTCAATCTGAGGGAGCCAACTGCGGATCCATGAGTGGTTCTAATCTGAAATACATTGAAAACACTGCCCCAGGTGTATGCAAAAACTTATTGTTAGACTAGCCTATTGGGTAGAAGAAAGATGATCAAGAAACGCCTTGAGGGTTCTGGTTCCTACTGTTATAGTCAGCTGCAATAAACTGTTTTGCATAAGGATTGAACTAAATCTGGTAGCATAATGGATCATCCGTGTCTATTTTTTTTGCCTCATTTAAGTCAAATAATCCCACAAACCAGTTAGGTTGAATAAGATGGTTTACAAGTTACATATAAATTAAAGGAACACTAAAATTTTAGTCACATAATTGCAGCATTTTACATTTATGAAGTCATAAACATGATATTTGCAATTTAATGTCAAATATTTTAAAACTTTTCATAAGAGTTACTTACTCAATACATCACGGGTCTTTTTGAAATTTAAAATATTAGCGAGGCCATGGTTTGATCCCAGTTTGAATCCAAGCAGCCACTTTTTCAGGTCAGCTGATCGGTTAATTTTCCAAAGGCATGTAGAGTCCTCTTGCCAGCTAGGCTAGACCCTTGATTGACTATTGGCGTTAAATAACAGCCAGAGTTTAGATGCTAGTCGAACAATGCCTAAGTAATGCCTAAGTGCAAATTACAAAATTTCGCATCCTCCATCAGCAAACTTAGAGAGCACCATTCCCATTTCTATTTAAAGAGTAATAAACTATGAGTACAAAGAAATTATGTGCTTTCTAAAAATATAATATGGAATAACTAGCACTAAAGTAATAGTGAGCACGATATGTGATTATCAATTCTCACGCCAAGAATTAGGGTTCCTTTTTATAGGTCAGTAAGTCAAAAGGATAACTAAAATCCTACCAATAAGTGTGAAAACCCATTTCATTCCAAAAGCTTAAATTGTCAAGGGAAGCCCAAGAATATTCATATGTTCTCTAACATTCCCCCTCAAGCAAAATCCTTTGATCTTGAAGCCTGAAAATACATAGGCCCATGGTAGTACAAAAATTAAAAGTTCAAGTAAATAAGAGTGGCAACTATCAAACTTTTGACTACTTATTTGAAGAAGCTTTACAGTTTCATTTCAAGAGCTTTAGTTATCAGGAAAAGGCTCGACAATTAATTTTGGAACTTCTCTAAAACGCATCAAACATACCTCAGCATCAATTAAGGGTTGTACTACTTTGCATCTCCCTCTTAGATTTGAAAAGAACTGGTAGGCAAGATGAGTTCCAATTGAAGCTTGATGAAAATATGAAGCCCAGTAATTTTCATCCAAAGCTTTGCAAAATGATGACAAAGAAAATTGCTCATTCGAGGCAGAAACTATATATATCACAGCAAGTAATCTGGATACCTGTTGGAGTGTCATTAACATTCAAGGTCACACAACCTGCTCTACCAATTGTCTTGAAAAGGAATAACGGAACAGACCAAAAGCCAGACAGTAATACACTCAGATCTGCTTTCAAAATATTTTCGAATCATATTTCTTGTGTTCCTTTAGTACTGTAAATTAACGTATTGTATTTATGAAGTAGACATTGACATAGTCACATACACATAACAGAACACAAGCACGATAGCAGATCAAACTTCAGAAATATAGAACATGAGTATGACATGAAATAGCATTTATATATTTTTTAAACTTCTCATTAGTGATATACTCCTAGGAAAAAATAAAACTGGTAATATTACATATTCTAGGTATCTTAAATGATTTTTTTTCTAAAAAAAATAAATGAATCAAAAGTTGTTAATAAACTATCGTTAAACTTATCCTTGCACAAAATTTAAGGAAAAACTCCAATTATCTAATCATGATGGCTTCTCTTCATTCATTTTGTGGGTCTCTTTTTTTATTTTTTGGAGATCATTTGTGTCTGAGCCATGTTTTGCTGACTTAACTATATTTGGCATGCGGCCAAGCTGCATATAAAGCATGTCTAAGCCAATTTTGGTCTGTTCATTTTGACCCATCCATTCATATGAAGAATGTGTCATGAAGTGAAGTCTATGTTTTGTAGTATCCCAAATAATCTGTTACTCTGCATGAACCTTCTCTTCATCCTTCCACATAAAATGGCCAAAAATAAAACCTAATAGTATAGGGAAAGCGATCAGAGTTACAATAGATCTAAACAGGCTTAAAAGGCTGCAAGTGCTAAAAGTCCAAGATGTTTGTTCCATAAAGTCAATATTGGTTCATGCTTTGTCAGGACAGGGCTCTTAATCTGCCATCAGGAAATGACTAACCTTTGCAACTGAGAACATATCTAGGAAAGATAAAAAATAATAAATAAATGATATCAGGAAAGAGATGTTTGACCTTCTGAAAAAGAAGAGGAACCTCACAAGAGAGTACAAAGGCTAGCATCAGCCAGGATGCAAGATCTTCAAACTTGATGCAAGATAAATTAGCGAAAATAATCCTGGCAGGCAAAAGGCACAATAGAGCAAGTGAATGAAGTTGGTTAGTAATACAAGCTTATGCCTACGAAGCATCAAGTATAACAGCGTAAAATTTTATGAATGTAGCCCAATGGAAACACAATTGTTGGAATACTCGTAAACAATGACGATGCAACACTACCGCAAAAGCTTAATGCAAGATTTTATTCATGCCATCTTACTGCAAAAGTTTTGGTTTGGTTCAAGGAAGGATTTTAACATTGTTTGAAAGTACACCCTTTAAGCAGAGTTGTGGTGCTTATGGTCAAAGTGTAATGCTAAAGCTTGTTACCAAAGAACTTTCCCCTCATATTCCTTACAGAACAGGGTCATCTTTTAACTCCTTTTTAGTGCGGGTGTAGGCTCATGGATTCCCTAGGGGCTTTGTCTCATGGATTTATAAAGGGACTGGAGAGATATTATGTGCTAACATTTTCCATTTGTACACAACGGACTTTAAGAAAGAAGAACCAAAAATGATTCACCCATCAATATGCGCAGAAGACAACAAAAATAACAAAATTCCATGAAGTGTTTTACATTACAAAGTTCCAAGGAAAACAAGATTTTTGACAACTAGAGAACGTTTCTTTTTGAAAAATGTCAAAATTGGATTGCATGAGACAAGAAGAAGAAGATAGAAATATCTAGTTTTAAGCAGTCAGATAATTTCAGAAAGTACACGTGTAATGTCTTATGCATTGTCATGCATGACTTCATTATTGCTATAAGCACATTTTAGATGCCGATGTCTAATTATCTATCATAAAACAACAGGGAGTAACGTTTTCTCATCAAGAATGGAGGAAGCTCACATATGCAGACTTTAATGAATTTAACTCGTAAGTTGTGCTAATTACAATTTACAAATACCTAGTATGCTTGGAACGATAGCTCCTCAAAGAGAACCAACAAATGTCATAGAGTATTTCTGCACGTTCAATAGCAAAAACATCTCCTCGGTACTCTTTTGCAACTAAAAGGCGAAAATAATCAAGTGCTACAGGAGCCAACTTTTGGTAGAATGAGTTTCTGCTGACTAGAACTGATATTCTTCTGAGAAGTATTTTATGTGCATCATCAATTTGACTAGGATATGCAAGAGAATTTCCTGCAAGCCAGAGAAGGAATGGTAAAAAATTATGTACTATGAATTATTGCTTGGCTTAATCCTTCAGAAAAAAATTGGCAAAAGATACGAATGTCTATGGGTGCATTTGTTAAAATCGAAGACAATTGTGGCGCAAATTCCATGTTGAAGCAAGGTGACAAGAATTCTCAGCAACAAAATTTGTAATATTTGAAAGGATTTAAAATCTATGTCCTGCATGTATATTAAATTAAAGTGAAAAATAAGGCTGTACTAAACAAAACTACTGTCATTTCACAATTCAAATAAGAAAAGGGCTGCAGCTGAAAGCATTTTATGACCTCCAATATGTCATGTGTTCCGAATAATTTTTCAAAAATTAATGAAGTGTTTAACACCCTTTCAAAGCCAAACTTACTGATGTTTACAACACTGACTTGAGTTTTCAGACAACTACGTAAAGAACAGTCAGAAACCAACTTTTGCGTACTCTACAACTCTTGGAGGTATTCACTGTGCTTTTCCCAGCATAGTTATCCCTATTTCCAAGAAATTATGCTGACAGCTAATAATGGCTTTACATTACCCTCATCCCTCCTTCTTAGGAGCTTTCAATCAGTTTTAAATCTTAGTATCCAAGAGTCAAACCCGATCAAATATTAAGAATGTGCCACGAAGTGGATTGCTAAAAGATTGAATAGAAGTCTTTGGAAATTCTCTGGTATCCTTTATTTACATGTTAGGATTTTATTATTATTCAAGTTTTTGGAAATTCTCCGGTATTCTTTATTTACATGCTAGGATTTTATTATTATTCAAAAACCTTGTAGTTCTCCCTCTTCATTTTATTTAGAAGAATAGTTGCCATCATCTTGATAGATTAACTTTTCTGTTCAGATTTATCCAGTTTAGTGTAAATAATGAGGGCTGAGGCCAAATATGAGGGGCCTAATCGTGTGCATGAGTGATTAGCCATCAATTACAACATGGTGTCAGTGTTGTCAAGATCTACCAAAATCCTCCCTTCTGTTTTGGTTTTGTCAAAATGTGATGTGTGTATATATCCCGTCATCCTTCCGTAGTTCAGCTGTCAAAAGTTTTGGAGAACAACATTCCTGAAGGGTGTGCATTTAACAACATTTTAATATTAGTCTTACCGTTATTTATTGATTTTTTTTAAATTAATTTGTATCTGTTCTAAATGGCATTATCTTTTTAGGTTTTTATTGCCTTATCTTTCTATGATGATACAATAATTTAATTCCTAGACTTTGTTAGGTTGTTAGGTTATTATTCTGACTTATGTTTTGGCGAAGAGAAGTTAATTTTAGTTATGAGTAATAGTAGTAATAATCATAACAACAGAGAAAACTTCTTGTCTGCATGGTCAAGGGTACCGAGCCTTCCCATTCATCACATTTCTTTGTTCTGATCATAACTTTCCAAATCAAGGAAGCGTAGTTCTCATTTCTCAATACCATCATATGACATAAAAAAATGACATTAAAAAAAAACATGAAAGAAACTATGGGAAGCATTGGAATTTTCATATGAGAAACTTTGACCATCAATGCATGCGAAAGAGTGCCCAGAAACAAGCTAAAACAAAGGCAAATAAAAGTAACTTCGAATTTGATATTCTTTTGCAACGGGCACAAGGATGTAGCTCTTGAGCTAGTAGCTTTCAAAGTTAGATAATGCAGATAGTTTTAATTTAGACAAATTCACACAAAAGAATTTTCAATATAATGCATATAAAATATTTACAAATCATTCGAAAATAATCTATTTTTTTCAGCAAAAACAGTAAACATAAAAACGCAATCATACCTAGTTGAGTGAGTAGCTTCATTGACAACTGCCTACGGACAAACTCCCATTTGAGAAGAATGAAATCTTTCATTAGCCCAGATTTCATAATTTCATGGGGAATACAGTGCCAACACCTCATATTGATTTGATTGCATGTTGCTGCACATCGTGAAGACACAGTGCAATCTGTATCCTTCAAAACTGAGACTTGCTGGGAAAGCATATCTGAGTGGTCAGAAAGAGAAACACGGTTCCCCTCCAAACTTATTGAAGCACCAACTTTTGACTTGGTAAGACTGCTTGCAAGTTGGTTCTGAGACAATCGATATTTAGAACGGGTGAACCTCGAATTATTCTCAGGTACTGAAGTTTGCTCCTCTGATAAACACTTAGCTGCATTATTATTCTTTCTAGTCTGTTTAGATCTAATCTTGGTTTCTGGCTCTTCTCTCCTGCATTTCAACTCATTTACACTATCTTCCGTGACTGTAAAGTAGGCAGAAGTCTTACAAGCACCACATCTGACATCTGTTGTACACCCATCAATATCATCTTGAGGACAGCTAAGCGGGTTTTTCCACTCAGAAATATTTAATTTGTCCAGGGCTAATTTGTAACATTTTTCAGCCATCCCTACAGGAACATCCCCTGTACTACTGTCGAATCTACTTTGACACAAATCTCCACGGGATTGATGCAGAGTTGCTTCCATTATCAGCTTGCACTTTGAGCAACAAAACGATGTGCTGCTTTCTTTCAGTATATGTTCACAACTTTGAAGTTCCTTTTCTGCTAAGTCCAAAAGTCCTTTCTTGGCATACAATTTTCCTAGCAGTATAACGCATAAAAGAAAATCATTAAGACCAAGCAGAGAATGAAATTTTACCAATTCATCAAGTTTATTTCATACCTAATATTAAAGAGAAAGCAACCACAAACAATGATAACTTCAGTTTGCATGATATGGCTTTGCCCCACTGTAGAGTAGTTTCAGCCTCAGCTCCATTTCCTATCATCTCATGAATTATTCCAACCTGCATTCAGTACACAAGATCAGAAAAGTATCCTGCAGTTTATCTTAACATAGGATCCACCAACGATGCTTTCTAACTTCCCCACATTAGAGGATCAAGAGATATACGAAGTCAAACCTGAAGCGTACTCTCCAGATAGCACTGCATGATTTTCCATGGACTAAGATAGCCATCTTTCAAGTCCCATGACACAGAATCAAACAACAAAACTTCTCTGGCTACTGATTTATTCATTCCAAAATTCTCAATAATGTACCCAAGATTGTGAGAGAATACACGCGCTTCCTTGTTTTCTCCAGCCTGCTGCTGAACAGTGTACATAAATTTCCCTTGGAAAAGTTTGGCACGCAGCCTTTGAGCTTCTTTTGCAAATGAAAGAGCCTAGTGAGGAAAACATGAGATCATTACGAAGTTGAAAAACAATGTACAGCCAAAGGTGTAGGCCCAAAAATAATAGTAATAATAATAATCAAAGTACAAAGCTGGACCACCAAAAGACTCGAACAAGATTCTATAGTTTATAATTAAAATGATATTTAAATTACAGGCTCACAAAATATTTAAGTACTAATTTAAAATGCCGGTCTATAATTACTCATGATGCAGCTGATAAGACCATACAAACTACAGCCTGGCAACTAAGAAATACAAAAATCTAGAACTTTTAGAAATACATGCCAGTTCATGAAGACGGCTTCAAAGAAAATAAGACACATCCCATAGACACTACACTGATTAACTAATTTTAAATTTTTTACGCTTCAATGAAACTTTGTTTTCTAAGAAAGTTTAAAAATCAAATAGAAAAAGATTGATTAGCCAAAGAATCAAAACACACAAAAGATTTTGTCAACACAACCCAAAAGAGTAGAATATTGATCATCCTTTGTGCCATCACTTGCAAAAGAAATACCAAATAAGAAAAAGAGAAATAAAAACTAAGAATAATTGTTACTGATTCACTAGTTAGAGGATTGACGGTGCAGTAGCATAAAAGTCTAAAAACAAATCCATTGCTGCTTACCTCTGTTAACTGTCCGCTTGAAATAAGTCTTGGACAGAGATCATAGTAGAGACACCCAGCAAGAAAAGCAGATTGGCTTGAATCAGGAACCTAGAAGTAAAATCAGAAAAACAAAGTGAAGATCCTAATAAAAAAAGCATTATAAAAGAAATTGAGTCAAAAGGGCTTACGCTTGACATTAATTCAAGTGCAGCTTTTCTAATATCATCAACTTCGATGTCTATCTGGAAAGAATTTCTGTGATTGTAAGAACCCCTTGGTAAGTCGGCAAACAAAAATGAGAAAGTCTGTTGAAACCCTATCACTCGTGGTTGGAAGCCCTGAAGATAGCGTATCCAGAAATCAATACTGGAAAGTTCTTCAAAGTGTTCTGATGATTTCGAGATGAATTCCTCATCTACAGGAGAAATACAGAGTGCATGACTTATCCTTCTGCTTTCCCACAGCAAGGCCAACCACTTCTCAATGGAGAGTTTCTTCAATTTAAACAATCTAATCATTAGCCGATATGCATCGTTATAAAGTTCCATGAAACCCTGTAGAGATAGCATTAATGTCAAACAATCATCCCGATCAACCTTATGCAAAAACTACAGGAACCAAGATAATTAAAACAGAGCAAACCTTCAATTGTAATAAATCAATTATGTTATAGAGTAGTATCATTATATTGTCAGAAAATGCAGAGCCCTCTTCCTTGTCACGACACTCAGGAATGTGAAAGCTTAACCACAGAGTTAAAGCTGCCTTAACATCTTCAAAGATTTGCTGTTCAAATGTACAAACCGAGCTAAACTTTAGCAATGAGGAAATTAAGTTTAACATCATAATTGGCCCTGCCACAAAAAAGAAGAAAGTGCAACAACGTATTAAACTTTAGACTGAAAAATAAGAAATCAATTCACTAGGACCTTTGAGTTAGGCTCAGCTTCCATGGTACATAGAGCACGCAGGCAATATGCGACCGACAATGGGTGATCAAGGGGATTTTTAGTGGCATATATTTCACAAGAAATCTCCTTCTGTTTAAAGATAACAGCTTCATATCAATGGCATATACAACTCCAACAATATGTTTTTTGAAAATGATCAAAGTAATCAATTTGAAAAATACATAAATATTGCTGAGCTTACTATCTTAGTTATTGCTTCAGAGAAACACTGAATACAGTCCTTGAGACCTTCTATGCCACAGACCCTCAAGGCCCTCCCCTTTCTCACTAGAGCTTGTGCTTTCTGAAAATAACTATCTGGATTGACATATACATCTTGCAGGAGGATATCTGAGATTTTCATTTGCATTTGCTGACAGAGCTCTGGGTAAGTAAAACTCATTTCCTCATATGCAGTAAGTTCCTAAACAAGACATAAGAAAAGAAACATCATAGACAAGTTGACAGATTGAATTATGTAGCAGCAAAAATCCATTGATATTTTCATGGAAAACAAATATCTGCTGGGAGGCGACACCTGTTCCAAGATCAGGGCAATGTTCCTCTTCGAAAGCTCTGTTGAGGATGACAGAAGAGAGTACAAGGCGAGGGAACTACTTTTCTCATCCACTTGCTTAACACGTTTACATTCCATCTGGATAGCATACCATATAACAATAAGTGGAACGAAATAAACTCAGAGGCAAAACAACCAAACACATAAAGCAAAATGCTTTGTATGTTACCTTCACCCACTGCTTCACTACAGGCATGGGAGCTGCCAACCTCGCAGACTCATCGTTGACAGCACACCAGTTTTTGAGTATTGATAGAGTTTTCTTCCTCACCTTATGATAGTCCACTTGATAGAGAATATCCAAAAGAAGAGCACTTCTGGTGCAAGTCTCATTTACAAACTCTATAAATTCATCTCGTATTGGACCGCCAAAATGACATTTAATACAGAGCCATGATACCTTACAGCATAAGCTCAGCACCTTTGAAGCCTGCAACGATATTTCAAACAAACAAACAAACAAGAAATGGAAAAGATTTAAAAAAAAAAAGACATTCTACTTATTCATCTATGATCTTCATATTTACATTTTGATAATTCAACGGAGTCAACATCACCCGCACCAAAATGGCCATATTGGATAAGTGGAGATACTTTCATTCACTGTATATGCATTTTTTTTTACCTTCAGATACAATTCTTTTCCTTCATCATTAATAGCAGACTTTGTTGGACTCGTAAACTTTACTGTCAATTGGTGGTTAATATTTTAACTTAGAGTCAAGTACTGAAACCAATTATTGGTTTTCACTGACCAAAGAGCACCATAATACATCAGCTCTGATGTCTCATGAACTGCCTTAGGGAACTATAAGACAACCTTGAACAAAAGCAATATTGAACAGAAAAGAAGTAAACATATCACATTTTAGTAATTGAAAACTGAGAACAAAATACCTCTTTTGCTTCCTTGTTTCTGTGCAAAACTACAGCAATATTGTAGAGACATGCAATTATGTAACCTCTCCCTTCTTTTTGGATATGTTCACTAGCAATAATCTGCTTAATTAGCCGTGCACTCTTCTGAAATGAGAAAGGTAACATAAAATTCACTATTAATTTTGGAGATTCAGCAATGCCATTTTAATCACAACTAAATCATATGGCAATGACAAAGATTAAGACTATTTCACAAAACCTGGATGCCAAGTTTAGTTTTGATGGATAGGGTAAAAGCTGCCACAGCTACATTAAGCAATGTTTTACAGTTTTCGTCAAATCCAATTCCATCCCTTTCTGTTGTATTGCTGTATATGAAAAGGAGTAAATTTTAAAGATTTAATATTATAAACAATCAGTGAGATGAATAAACAAGTGGTGCCAAAGACTATTGTCTACAAACAATTTGAAATATTTTCTATATGACTTTTATCTTCATTGCAATTGTCCATAAGATACTTTCAAGTATAGATAAGTGACATGAAGAATGAGAAATCTGCTCTTGTAACATTAAACAGGACTGTAGAATAAAATAGAAAAATATATGGGCCATCTTGCCATGTATGGAGGACCACAATCAACAAGAATAACAGTAACCAAAAAGAAATCAAAGAGGAGGCCGCAACCAAGAGAATGCTCAACTGCATATGAGAGCACACTCCTGCAAACCCTCGAATCTTTGACAGTTACATGTACAGCACATCTCCAATCAATATGAAATAAAGTATTCAGAATTTAAAGAGAAAATACTTAAAAGATGGTTTTGAACATGTTTCCTTACCTTGGACATGAAAGTATAAGATGACAAAGGAGATGGAACACATCTAAGACAGTGGACAGCGTGTTTACAGCAGAAGCACCATCCTTTCCAGCAACTAATTGTTTTCTTTCCGCATTAATTGCTTTAGCAAGTGGTTGGGAGAAGAATTTCAAAGCATTTAAGGAGTATGGGACGTAAGTCGTAGAAACAAACTGTGTGCTTATTTGATAAGTAAGGCCTTTCTCCTTGACATTGCTTATTTGATAAGTAAGGCCTTTCTCCTTGACATTGGAGCAAATATGGTCTCCACACAAGTTACCAATCACAATTGATAAATCCTGCAGTATGTCCTCATTATCAAGTAAAGTTTCAGTCAAGTATTGAAATTTTGAACCTCCCGAAGATGCAAGGTCTCCATCTCTATATCTCAAATCACAACTAATAAGGAGCAAGCCAACAACATAAATTCTCAGAATCACACGGACAGGTGTCATAACCTGTGATCAAAATGAAATATAAAAATTGACAGCAAGAGCACATAAAAAATGCACTTAATCAAAAATTTAGGGGAAAAAAAACACCTGCTGCATATGTTCTGCAATTTTGTTCAGACGTGCTGCAAATGCACTGCAAAAAACTGCATTCACAGTCTGACATTTATTGACACAATATGATACAAGTTCAACATATTCTATTTCAGTTTCCTCTTCAACCTGAAAGGATAAATTACATTTTTGAACATTAATATTTCAGCTGCACTTTAAGATAAACAATCACTGTTTTATCTCTATGCGGGGAATGCCAAGCAACCTAAAGGGCCATCCTTAGGTCAGTCAACTAAAAGGCAAAGCAACATAAATAACAGATGAGGAACTTGGGGTATTGCAGCATGAGCAAAGGAAGACATGGTGAGATATTCAAATTATGATCAAGAATTAACGAATTGCATGTAATTCATTTTACAATACCTGGCATTCATGAGCAACATGCTCCAGTATATCAATGATATACGGGGATTGCAGCTTGAACAGTGAGGAACATATAATGTGGGCAATCTGCATAAAAATCTGATCAGAAAATCAAGTGAAGAATTTAGCGATGCTTAATTCCAAAAGATGAAAAATAAGTTACCTTGTAAACTCGATCTTTCAATGAAGATTTCACATACTCGGTTAATGTTGCACAGCAGAGGGCTTTCAACATATCCATCTCAATCGATGTTGCCCTCTCAACTAAATATATACAACATTTACCCATATTAACAGCTAACGTCCTGTGCAACTTCTCGCGTGTACTGGCATCTAATACCCTGGAGGAATGAGTTTGGTGAAAAAAGCAAGTTAATAACTTGAATAAATCCAGAAGACACCTTTTTGCTTAAATAAGGCTGATATCCAGGTAAAAATGGGGACAATCATTCCAAACATTACAAGAACGATCTTTTAACAAACAACTGGGTATCACACGATATGTGTGCCCGATGAAAGTGCCTCTTGGAAAGTTGGAAAGATATGAAAAAGCGCAAGGTATCACATTTGTTTCCCTTAAAACGAATCCCAGCTCTTTCATGCAATTATCTTAAAGATATCCTCCCTTCAATAAATGAGGTCAGATCTTTAGCAAAGCAAGCAATCCTTATTCAACCTCCAACCCGAGTTTTAAGCGTGCACATGCCATGTACTATACGAAACATTGATCGCACAATAAATTTCCAAACCTTAACCACGGCCATACTTCCTCCACCAAATCGAGCACCCTCCTATAGTACCCACCGTCTTGGCTCCGTCCCATTGCAGCACACTTCACGAGCGTTACAGTGGTCTCCACAACCAAGACACAGAAATCTTTGTCTCCACCGCCCTTATCTACTTCCGGGAGTAACTTGTTCTTCATTCTCACTGATTTCGAGGCATACCCAGTGAACCGAATCCTCTCCAAAATCCTAAAACCCTCAGTTTCTGATTCCTCGTACCGCCCACACACCTCCAAGCAATGCATCATTCGAAGCCTCATGAGCTCAACTGAATAAGGCTTGCAAGCCAATTGAGAAGCTACGGCATCCAAGCAATCCAAGCACAGCTTATAAACTTCAAACAATTCGTGAGCTAAGTCCCCCCCGCCACCCGATTTTGATGACTCCGACAGGCGCTTGGGAAGAACAGACAAACAGCGATTAAGAAACGAAATATACTTCTTAGCAAGTGAACGGACTAGGGATTGATCCTCTTTGGCCTTCGCCGATTTCTTGGTTCCCTTGGGTTTTCTAAGATCTTCAAATGGGTGGAGATAGTCGGAGAAAAGGGGGAAAAGGCCTACGCAATCGGAGGATTCGAGTTTAGAAATGAGAGATGATTCGCTGGCGGAGGCCATGACGACGATTGCGACGGCGACGGCGAGAGGGAGGGAGTGAGACTGTGAGACCTTTATGACGGAGCAGGCCCCCTGTTGTTTTGAGGAGGAGGGAATGGGAAGCGCGGAGCTCAAAGGCGCGAATAGGGACAGCCTAATTCAAATTTGCTTTGCCAAGTTGACTCCCCCATCACAATGTAACATTTTACAGATAAACCCAGGAAAAGAAAAAGAAAATTTGTGTTAGAGAAAAAATAAATGGAGGGAAAAAAATTGGAAATATTCATTATTTATCCGGAATACCAAATAGTACCTGGAGACCAATGAGACTGCTAGTGCTTAGATCCTATTCGTGTTTTATAATCTCGTATCACAAAAAAGTTCAACTTATATAACATTACAATGATGTAAATTTAAAAAATAATCATCCTACCATATAATTTAGTAGTATCTAGAGCTTTATAATGAAAGTCAATGTTCGCACTTGGCATACTAATGTGGTTTTGTAGCACTTGACGTGAATTCACACTTGTTTTTAGTCATTATAATCACTTTTTTTTGCCAACAGTCATTATAATCACTTAAAAAGAGTTTTTTTTTTGTGTTTTATCAGGAAAACCTCGTTTTACTTAAAATCACTTAAAATAATTTTTAAAAAAAAACTCATGTAACACCAACTATTTACAGCAAAGTAAGTAATTTTGAGGGGTGAAGCCGTGATGTTTCTAAAAATATGTTGGTTCTTTAAATCTTCGTAATTTTCAACATATAATCTCAAAAATGATTCCTCAGAAATTTTTATTTGCTTCAATCATAGTGAGCATGTTTGGAATAGCTTATAAGCCACTTTTCAATCGTGATTTATGGAATACAAGATAAGTATATGAGAAGAATTTTATCTCGATTTACGTAAAATATGCTTATAAGTGATTTTTATCGCTCTACCAAATAGGGCCAGTAAAATGTACTTGGAATGCTTAGAGAGATACTTAGATATTACCTATTAACAAGGTCTTCACATTGACAGCATGATTCGAATTTACAACCTTGTGAGTTATAAAGTAATTTCTTATTAACTAAAGGGTTAATATAATTTTTATTCTTCAAATTTGTCCTCATTTTGGTTTTAGTCTCTCTAATTTCAAATTACAGGTTTTGATCCTTTTAGGAACAAAATGGTTCATGCATTTATTGAATTATAAGGACTAATGTTTTAAATTAAAAAAAATCTGAGGGACCAAAACTTATAATTTTAAATTTGAAAAATCAAAATCAAAATGAAAACAAATTTAAATGACCAAAAATTATATTAACTCTTAACTAGATAAACTCTCATTGCCACTTGTTGATATACTTTTAATTCCTCAAGAGTGAGGAGACTTTTATTGTGGTCATTAATTTTAATGAAAAACAACTTTAAAAGTTACCTGTTCTTAACCTTTTTTTTTTCTGCCATTAGTGTATTTAACAAATTTAAGGATATCAACTATCACTTCTTAAGAATGGTAAAATTAATCAACTTTGTACCATAACTAGAACCTGATCGCTAAAGAAGTAAATCATTAAAATTTAATAAAAATACAATGAAATACAAATTTAGTAAAAATATAAACTGTATTTAAGTACTTACTGCAAGTTCTTATTAAAAAATACTAAAAAAATTAATTTTAACAAAAACTCAAGGAAAAAAAAAGAGTATCGCTCTTTTTTTTTATAATGTCATGTTATCTACTATCTCCGATTTTTAATATAAGAGTTAATTGACTAATATGAGTAGATTAAGAAAACTAGTTAAGTTAATTATTTGTAATAAATAAGTATTATCTTTCCTAAAATATTTTTATTAATCAAATACATTGGTTATAACTATCATTATTACTAGGATTATTTTAGAAAAAATGGATAAACATAAAAGAGAAAGTAAATTAAGGTCTTACATTTAAGACCAAAATAAAAATTAAATGAGTTCTTATATTAAAAATCTAAAATAGTATTTTTTTATGAAATTATCTAATACCACCTCCGGTCTTTAATATAAATCTAACATATTTGTGCATTTTCCCGTCAAAAGAAAGAGTGATCTCACCGTAACTCTTGTGAGAGAGCATAAAAACTCATAATAAATACAATATTTTCTTATTAAATTGGCAAAATATATTAATACTACTTTTTTGGGAAAATGACACTAAGGTCCCACAAAAGAGAAAATACTGCAAAAAAGTCTCTTCAAATCTAATAACTACTTAGGAGTCCCAAAGGGACTTGGTTGCAATAAGACAAATCATAAAAAGACTATGCTGTCCCTGCTGAAATGAAATCTGATTTTGAACCCTATTTCCATTTACGCATTACTATCTCACTCTCCTCTAAAAAACTAACGCTAAATCAACCCTCATTAGAAGCAAGGAACCTCAAATCTGTTTACCTTTGCTGTAATCATTGAAGATCGTCCAGGTATAGGGCATCATTGAAGCTGTTTATGGTCGAAACAAAGCTGTTGTTGTCAGCATCTCTGTGTTCATCTGTGTTCTTCATTTATGGCAATGTATTCCTTTTGTTTCTCTGCAAATTTTTTGAGTTTAAAATAGTACACTAAGACCTTTAGGTTGGTGATTTAAGTTGGGGTTTCATTGTGGGTGAGTAGGATGATGATGGGTTCTCTGTTTTTGGTGACATTGTGAGTGGTTTTGCTCTATGTTAGCATGGTTTAGCATGAAAAGCTGAAGAAGATGAAAGTTGGTGTGGGTAGAAACCTTTTCTGCGAAATGGGATATTGTGTTGTCAATGTAAGCTGCAAAAGTTGTCAATGGATGCCGTGATAGTTGTCAGTAGGGCTGCTTCACTTGTCAATAACAACTGGACGATTGTTGATGCAAATTTACATTACTAATAGCCAGTACGTCTGGGAAGCATTTATTTTGTTTTGTTCATATAGAGGTAAGTTTATAAGTGATGGAGAAGATGATATGAGATATATTAGAGGTGGTGCAAGAACAAAATTATACAAGTACAACATATCACAGAAGTTTTTGTACAAATTTATGAAGAATAATCAATAAAAAATCATTGTGAAGTGTAAGGTTGATAGTTGTCCATAGTATATGAGTGCATACTCGATGGGAGCACATCAAGATATTATGTTTTTAACCACCACAGCATACAGAAGTGAACATATTCATCATGCACAGGACAACTTGCTTGTTTCTCACTCGGGAAGGTCAAATTTAGCTCCTTCAATTGTGATTGATGACTTGAAGTGCAATATTAGCAAGAGTCCAAATCTCAGCAGAGAACATATTGAAATCAACTATTTTTTATATATGGGCGTGAAAGGAATATTTTGTAAATAAGTGTGAATGGATTTTTTTTTTTTGTAAATGGATACATACCAACAGTTCGTTTAGTAATTACATGCAACCCATATGGTTTTTTTTAGATGGGTTGAGAAATAGGTGTAGTTTTATGTATATGAAAGTGTAAATGAAAATTGACTATTAATTGATATGTTAGACTCTGCTGTCATTTGAGTTGTAATTATTGTACCCTACATTGTCAATAGACCTGTTTTGACTTGTCACTGCTTGTATTATGACTTGTCAATTAATCTACTGATGTAAATTATCTAAAATGTGAATTCAAGGTATATAATGGGTTTTTGCATCATGAAATGTTTTCAATTACTCTGACATATTACATTTTGGTTATAATATTGTATATAATCATTATTAAAAGTATATCATTGCTGATATAAAATTATAAAATGAATTGTCAATAATTACACCATCGCTTATTAATGGTGATAATGTCACTTGTCATTTGCTACACTATTATGTGTCAATATAACTGCAGATATGAGTTTTAAAAAAAAAAGTGATTTTAAGTTATATAGTGTCATTTAATATTGACATATCCTCTAGATTAATGTGACATTTGTTAACTTAAAAAAAATCAATAAATCGTAATTACTATTTGATTTGTCAACGGTAGTAATATGACTTGTCAATGGTGGTATTGTGACTTGTCAATGGTCGTACTGTGACTTGTTAACTATGAAATCAAGGGTATAGAATTTCATCCAGGTGCGGAGGTCCTTTGGCAGATTCATCCAAGTGTCGCGGTGCCTATTGCAGAATGTCTCTCCTTTTTCCTGCTTCAGAGGCTATAGCGGATTGCTTCGGGCACCGCGACGAATTAAGCATTATCAAGCTTGTCAACAAATACACTATGACTTGTCAACGGTGGCACTATGACTGGTCAATGGTGGCACTGTCACTTATCAAATTTTGAAAAATTATTATCTAATTAATGTAAATTTTGGTTATACCTTTTGGTTAATATTTTCATTTTAATTACATATAACTTAATTGAGCATTTTAAATAAATGACACCTTTTATTTGAAAGTTTTTAATATAGTTGTTAATATCCACCCGTTGACTTGTTCATAAGGCTATTGTAACTTGTTAAATTTTGTGCTGTTTAATGTCATTTTCAGAGCTACTTTGTTAAACATAATTTAATTGAAATTTTCAAATAAATAACACCTTCACATAAAACAATAGGCTGCATGGAATTAGATTATCCATGAATTTAATATAAAACAATAATACTACTTGTTCACTAGTCCATAGATATTAACTTCATAATTTACTTGTCAATACAACCACATTAAATTGTCAAAAGTGGCAGCGTAAATTGTAAGCACAATCTCATCAACTATTTTTATCATAGCATTTAATGACTTCAATACAAAATGCCATTTTACAAGCACAATCGATATAACCAGTTTCAGTTACACTCTTCATTACTTGTCCCTTCTTTTATACTTGCTGTTCTTGCACTCCTTCCAATATATCTTATATCATCTTCTCTATCATTTATAAACTTATTCCCTATATGAACAAAACAAGTAAATGCTTCCCAGACGTACTGGCTATCAGTAATGTAAATCTGCATCAACAATCGTCCAGTTGTTATTGACAAGTGAAGCAGCCCTACTGACAACTATCACGGCATCCATTGACAACCTTCGCAGCCTACATTGACAACACAATATCACATTTCGCAGAAAAGGTTTCTACCCACACCAACTTTCATCTTCTTCAGCTTTTCATGATAAACCATGCTAAAACAGAGCAAAACCACTCACAATGTCACCAAAAACAGAGAACCCATCATCATCCTACTCACCCACAATGAAACCCCAACTTAAATCACCAACCTAAAGGTCTTAGTGTACTATTTTAAACTCAAAAAATTTGCAGAGAAACAAAAGGAATACATTGCCATAAATGAAGAACACAGATGAACATAGAGATGCTGACAACAACAGCTTTGTTTCGACCATAAACAGCTTCAATGATGCCCTATACCTGGACGATCTTCAATTATTATAGCAAAGGTAAACAGATTTGAGGTTCCTTGCTTCTGATGAGGGTTGATTTAGCGTTAGTTTTTTAGAGGAGAGTGAGATAGCAATGCGTAAATGGAAATAGGGTTTAAAATCAGATTTCATTTCAGTAGGGACAGCATAGTCTTTTTATGATTTACCTTATTGCAACCAAGTCCCTTTGGGACTCTTAAGTAGGTATTAGATTTGAAAGGACTTTTTTGCAGTATTTTTTCTTCCGTGGGACCTTAATGTCATTTTCTAATAGTATTTTTATGAAATTATCTAATACCACCTCCGGTCTTTAATTCAAGTCTAACATGTTTGTGCATTTTCCCGTCAAAAGAAAGAGTGATCTCACCTTAACTCTTGTGAGAGAGCATAACAACTCATAATAAATACTCCTCCGGTCCTTATTATAAGACCCAATTTGACTTTTTATTTGGTCCTAATTATAAGACCCAATCCATTTTCTCTCTTATATTTATACATTTTTTTCCAAGATAATCCTTCTAATAATGATAGTTTTAACCAATATACTTAATTAGCAAGGATATTTTAGGAATAACAACACTTATTTATTATAAATAACCAACTTAACTTACTTCCTTAATCTCCTCAAATAAGTCAATTGGGTCTTATAATTAGGACCGGAGGAGTACAATATTTTCTTATTAAATTGGCAAAATATATTAATACTACTTTTTTTTGGGGGAGGGCGACAACTAGACATTTTCAAATTCAGTACTCAATTTTTTCTTTATGCTTTAGCACTGAAAATTTATTAGAAGACCTTCTTTTTTTTTTTTGCCAACATTAGAAGACCTTTTTGTTACCTTGTAAATTATATGATCATTTCACCAACTTTAGAAATCAAAGGAAGCATTCATTATTAAAATGAATTAAGGATTTATTGGAAAAATTGAAATTAATCATACTTTGTCATCTATGTGCTAAAATCTTAAATGACATATTAATAATAAAAAAAGTGGTATTTGTAACTAATTCCCAAAATTCATTTTGGTCCATTTTCAATTTTTTGCGGCATCTATGGGATATTTTCTCCGCATGTCATGAAATTTCAAAAATCTAAAGCAATTCAAGGTTAGGGTGATGAAAACGCTTTCCAAAAATAAAATGAACAGCTAAGAGTCCCTCCAAATGTTGCTCCTTCGTAATATGCAGTGCAGCTTTCAAATGGTTCATCATAGTTCATATGGAAACTCAGAAAGACAATTTAAGAACTCAATACAATGGCATGGCCTCAATCTTCCTTTGCCAACCACAAATCTAAAAAATTGAAAAAAAGGAAAATCAAAACAATACTGTGGAAAAACCATTGCAAACACACAGCATCATGTAATTAAAAGAAATCTTTGATAGATGAACCTCTGTTTCCATTAAAGTGTCCATATCTCATCAAGAACAAAAACATGGATAAGAAGTACACACACTCATCATTCTAATTCTTAAGACTTCGTTTCATGATGCTGTTGTGTCCGCCTTCTGATCCTCCAATAACTTAAGCTCCTTGCGCCAATCTTCCAGTTTTGATAGCTTTTCCAACTGTTCTGGCTTCAAATCTTGCTCTGCACTTTTCTGCTGTAGGGCTTCTGTAAGCCGAATCTGCACCCACCGATCAAATATTATGCGCTTATGAGAGGGAAGAACCCTAGATAGATAGCTCTCTTAATTCAGTAATCATCATCATCAAGCCTTATACCACTATGTGACTGGTTATATAAATCGCAAAATGCCATTGATATCTATGAACATCCAATTCTATTCTTTATGTATTGTGCTTAATTCAACCAAATATTATAAATGGTGATCAAAGCAGTTGTGGAACAATATAATCGAGATATTAAGCTTATAAAGTGGCATTGCATTTGAGCATCCACGGAAAAATTTTGCAAAGAAAAGTTTAGACATTGCGTGAGTTTTAGATCCACATGACATGTTGAAGTGTGATGACACTCAGCTTCGGTAATCAAACAATGGACATCTTGCTAAACATAGATACGGTTGTTAGCCATCAATAATTGTCTCTTATCCAAACATTTATCAGCCCATGAGTTAGTTCTCAGCTTGAACACTCAATATGATCATATCTCGGGAAATGGAGATGTTAGATGGACACTAGCATGAAATATAAATAAAAATGTTAACGAAAATAACCAGAATAATTGGGACAATTTAAAATAGGTAAAATTGGAATTAATGATTCATGGAGAAAGAAAGGCTGTGGATCCAGTTGGACTCATTCAAAATTTCAAATACTTGAATGAAGCGCAGAATTTGTCATTTAATCAGAAAGAAACTAGCAGAAACACACCAGGCAGACGAGTTTTCCTATGGAGACAACCTAAAAGGCTACCTCACAAACTAGTAAAACTCAAAATGAGATCCATGGTCAAACATATCCTCATTTCTCGATACTGTGTTGAAGTGATAAATAATTTCCAACCGTAAATCATACTTGATTAATAGCAGCACCAAAGTAACCCAATATGACGTTCTTATGCCATAACAACGGAAATAAACCAATAATAGGTGATTTTAAACCAGCTGATGAAACCATGCTACGCCTGTATACTTCATACCACTAAGACCACAACATCCTAAGACCAGCACTATAAAATCACTGATCTCTAATTCCACGCTTCCTGTCGGATGTCACCAAAGGACAACATAATCCTTCACTTCTCACAATTTTTTTAGAATAAGAAAACAAAAAATTTACATATCACACATTTAAGTTAGATTTAATAGGATTAAAATAAATTGTTGCATGAAGAATGCAGAGACAAGGAGGAATAAGGCTTCGGAAAAATAGACAGATAATTGCATGTCAATTGATACCACAAACCACCTAGGTTATCATAGTAAAGATTACTGAACCGTGACAGTATAAAAGTAACTTCAGCATATGCTAACACTGTCAGCCCATATTAACGGCTGGTTTTATTGTCGCCTTACTGGATGCAAATTAGAGACCAAGTCATGAGAAAGCTGGAAAGTATGGTTGATGTACCTTCTTTTTAAGTGCTCGAATTCTTTTATCTATGTCTTGACTACCGGCTGGGTCTGAACCCTCTGCAGTCTCTAATGCAGGAGTAACAATGGAAGAATCTCTAGAAACAGCTAATTCATTCAGATGAGAGGTTAATGAAGTGACAGACTCTGATATGTGACCCGAATTGTTGACAGATAGTTCTTCCTGGTTACTATTGTCGTCATCTCCGGTTTGTTCCAAGTTCTTTTCCTTTTCAAGAGCAGTCTGCAAGAGAAAATTAAAGGAAAGACAAGAGTTGTTTACACATTGAGCAACTTTCACAACTTGTTGCTCTAAAAAACAACGAAACATATTTTATAACAATTAAAACTTGCGCTGGTCAGTCCTTCTTAAGTGCCAACAGGATACTCCCTCCGTTCCTTATTATAAGAGACATTTGATGCTTATGGCATGTTCCTATATATAAGAGACACTTAAAAGTTGTCTCTACTTTTTTGTGTTGATTTCCTATTTTACCTATATTTATTGTCTCCAATTCACACTCTCTCTCCCTCCCATTTCTCTTTCTTTCAATAATTTAATTGTTCTCTCTCATGCTCTCTCTCCTTATTAATGAGGGCATTTTTGGAAAAAAGATTATGTTTTTTACACATTGATTGTTCTTAACTAATTTTAACTGCTTTTTTGATCAACGTAATTCGGTTATTCGTCTCTTATAATAAGGAACGGAGAGAGTAGTTGCTTCATTTCTATCTCCACAGAAGCTCTATGGACAGTTACAGGCTAACTTTCTGATACACTTTTCCCAGCAAATAGCATCTCTTATGGGCAAGAAGCCTATGTTCTTTTATGCTACAATTAGAGGTTTGTAAGTTAGAAGGTAAATGTGTGAATAAACACATGAACATTGTTCAATTTGGCTCAATTCCTGCTTATATTCTCCCCCATTTCTATAAGAGTTCATAAAATCCTATATGTTCCTGAACCAAAAGGCTTTCATGGACTCAGGGGCAACTTGTCAGCACTGAGTGACAGAAGTCATGGATGATTATCACTCCTTCCGAGATATTATCTTATCACAAACAAGCAGGAAGTTTTTACCCCAAGTCACTCTTTTGATTACTGTGAATATATAGAGGGCTTAAAACATGCAGGTAAAATGATTTTCCTAAAGATAGCCAATATAAGAAATGGTGAAAGGAAGCTAGCAACAAGTTTACAAGTAACAAATTTAAAAAAGCAATTGTTTTGATACTATATTCCTACATAACCTACAATCAATTCATGATGAAACATCATGTCTTACTAGATTGACAGCTAAAACCCTGCTTACCCGAACTTTCAACTCGATGGGAGAGAAGGTTAAAATAATTGTCCTGGGAAGCCAATTGAATAAGTAATCATGACAGAGATAGGTAGCGTAAGTACATAACCCACCTGAAGCCGCTTTTCCTTCTTTCTTTCATTCCTCTTAACTGACTTAGACTTGGGTTTTGCGTCTAATGAAGGATCATAACCCGGAGGACCAGCATGTGAAGCCAACTCTTTTTTCAACTGCATAGGCCAAACTAGAGAATCAAAATGGGAAAACAGAAGTAGTTCAAGAAAACTGCCAGGAAGTCTAGCCCAAAAGACTTGTAAAATCCGTTAAGCTAGTTCTTTGTCAATTTGAATCCAGCGACACATCAAATGTATTACGCGTCATGATGGTTTACAGCATCATTAGCTTAATATGTTCTCTTTCAATTTCTGCCTGCAGAATTTATAAAATCCAATTAGCCAATACATACGATGCAACATTATGTTATGATCTCCATCATCTTCGACCAAAAGTCAATAAAAGCCGGGGAAGATGTTCACAACATTGTTTCAATACGCATACTGGACAATACTCTCCATTGGTATATCGACAGTGTGTGTGAAGCCTAAAAATCCAAACTTTGTCAAACTTTGAACGTTCCTAGGTAAATTTGGCAGCAGTCAAACAAAAGGGTGAAAGAAAAGGAAGGGTTGAACCTTCAAAGAGAAACCAAATACTGTGTAACAAGGATTATGATACAGAAAATCGTACCAGGGCACCTTTAGATTGATAAATGGCGACTTCGTCTTGAGGAACATATCCAGCTCTGATCCGAATAGGCTTCCGGAGAGTACCATCGGGTCGTCGGCTTGGCGCGAGAATTCTCTCTCCTTCTTTTAGGGTTTTGCTCAGCTCCGCTAATTGCTTCTGTTGATCATCACCTCCATTACTGGTAGCCATGGATGATAAGCTTCCGGTAAAGACAACCAGCGCTAATGAATTTCAACGTTGGATTCTTGCCTCTTGCTTCTATTTTCAGCGGCTTCCACTTTGCCAATCACAGCTGGTTTCTACTAATGAAATTTCCCAGGAAATCATAAATTTTTTTAACCAACTAAATCATGATTTTTTTTAATGATTTGAGTTAGGGAAAATTACATTGAGCATAAAAATTTTTTTTAAAAAACCCCAAATTTATTAGATTTATTTGAAATGACCAAAGGAAATAATTTTGTCAAGTTTTTATTTCTTCTCAATTTTTAGTTATACAAGTTTTTATCCTAAATTACCTTTGCAAAAATTTTGAAAAATGAGTTAATATTTAGGATGAATGGGCCAATCATTTATGTCAATTTTTCTAAAATATTGAGAAAATGACAGAAAAATGATTCTGAATTTCAAAACCCCAAAATGTCATTTAAATAAGCAAAATTCCAGTTTAGATATAAGTGACTAAATTGAGATTTGCAAAATTGCTAAAATGATTATATTACTTTTTATATTTTTTTAAAAAATATCAAGCATCTTCACCGGTAGGTCGATTGCCGGACCCTCACTGACTGCGATGACTATCAAAGTTCAAGTGGGCCGCCTTCATCAGAGCTCTGGCAGTCACCGACAACCTGTCGTCGAAACATTAACGGCCAACAACTTTTTTTTTTAATAGAATTTTTACAACTTTAGTAATATAGGTAACAAATTCTTTAACGATATTAATAAGTTTGTATAACAGTTAACAATATGTTTTTTAGAAAATCTAAAAAATAGTATTTTTACAATTTCAGTAACGTGGTTAACAAGTTTTGTAATACTATTAACAAGTTTAATATGACAATTAACAATAGGTTGTCTGAAAAATTCAAAAGGTTGTATTTTGCAACTTCAATAATCTGATTAATAAATTATGTAATGATATTAACAATTCTCAATCTCTTATAATACAATTAACAACTCTATTAACAAATTATATAATAATATTAACAACTTTCATAACCATAATAACTACCTAATAAATGAAAAAATTTTGATGTACAACCTTCATATGAAAATTTTGTTAATGACGCTATGAGAGTTATTAATATTATTACATGTTTTGTTAAGCGCGTTACTGAAATTGTAAAAATGTCACTTTTTGAACTTCTCAAAAAATCTGTTGTTAATTACTATATTGAACTTGTTAATAGCATTACAAAATTTGGTAATCCTGTTATTAAAGTTATAAAATTACCACTCTTTGAATTTTTTAGAAAAACATGTTGTTAACTACTATATCAAACTTACTAATAGCATTAAAAAACTTGTTAACCACGTTATTAAAGTTGTAAAAAAAAAAAAAAGGTATCAATCGTCAGAGCTCCGACAACCAGTCATCAATTGGCTATCAGAGTTGCGGTGACTCTAAACTCTAGCAGCCGCCACTGGCACCGGAGATCCAGCGATCGAGTAGCTGATGAGAGTGCTTGGTATTTAAAAAAAAAAAAGAGCAATATGATTATTTTAGTAAATTTACAAATTTCGATTTAATCACTTATACCTAGACTGAAATTTTGTTTATTTAAGTGATTACTTAGAGATTTTGAAATTTAGAAATCATTTTTCTATCATTTTTCCAAAAATATTCATTCCATATAAAAAAAATTCATTAAATGAGAATGAATGAGAGTTTATAAAATATCTTTTTAATTTTTAATTTCAATATTATTAATTTTCAACAATACTTTTATATTAATTATTGTAATTAAAAATTAAATTTAATATATATTGTTCATAAATAGTTTCTTAAATTTTAAAATTTTAATATCAACAATGGAACTAGCTATATTAAAATTAGAAGATTTAAAAAATATATGGCTAACTGTTAAGTTTTAAATTTTCTAATATGACATAACCTTACTTTTCAAAATACTAACCATAAATAAGACCAATCATTAATATGAGCTAATTATTATTTTTAATTTATTTAACATGGTGCGATCTTCATTATATGTTTGATTTGTTTACTCTTGATACTTTGACATGCTTCGTCATATTCGAATTTTGAATTTATAAACTTAAAAGTATAAAGGTTAGCAAGTTCTGATACCAATGTCATATCGTTCATATCAATTTTAAATATATATATATCAATTGGGTATAAATGATGGAAGCAAAATTTTGATATCAAAGTCTACTAAACTCATTTTTACTTAAGTTATAACTTTCTAAATGTATATTAAATGAATAAAAAAATAATGTATATAATATTTTAGTATCAGAATTTATTAAATTTATTTTAACTTTGTTCTAAACTTAAAATATGAGATATGACAAACTTTCTAAAAAAAAATTGTTAAAATCAATTTAATACCATTATTTAAAACAAAAAATCCAACCTCTTATGAAAAAATAAAATAAGAGTCCAAACATCATCTAAAATAGGAATACATTTATTTATATCTTCTGATACCTTCAACAATTTTCTAGATATATTTTTTTATATCGCCCACATCAAATATATCTAAATTAATTGATCTTGCAAAAACCTTTTACAACTTGTAAAATACTATTATCATATTTAAATATGATAGTCCAACTAATAAAGACACAGTAGCAAAATATAAACTGTCACATCGTTTTGCCACACCCCTTACTGTAAGGCTCCTCCTAATTCTATTGTATTTTATGAATCCCAAGAATATTGTTAAAAGTTCACCTACAGGTTTTATATTTATTATCTTCTTCATGCAATTCATACTTTGACACACATTGTCTTTTCTTAAATTTTGAATCTAGAAGTTTAAGGGTGAGGATGAGTTTATGATGCTTTGATACCAAAATATTGCATCCATTAACGATAACTCTTTATCACTTCTAAAAAAGATAACCTTACATTAATTTTTTTCTCTACAAGAATTAGGAATAAGGTTGCTTAGCAACTCTCTTTGTTGCAATATATTTACCGTGATTGCAATCCAGCCCATACACATCTCAAGATTCTTGATAGATAAATTTATTATTGCATTAGCATTGGTTTGATCCTAAGTACTTATGAACCTCTTTTTCCCTTGCTCTTTCTTTGGTTTTAGTTTGTTTTCAGTTTTGGTCTGTTGGTCTCTATTCTTTTCTGTTGGTTAGTTGTTGGGTTGGGTTGTTTTACGTTCAGTTTTTAGTTATGTAGCTCTTAGGCTATCTAATGATTTATGGTGCATTTTGTTTTTCTTTGATTCTCTTACTCAATTTTGAAAGTTTTTGGTAAAATTGAAAACCTATGAATAATTACATAGCCAATTGCTATTGCCCGAGTTGTTAATTCTGGTTTTTCTGGGGTAGTGTTTGTTGCTGTCTGTTTGGTCTTTGTTTAGTGTATTTTGTTTCTTGTGTTCAGAGTATGCCTTGTACTAAGAATCCTGCGCCTGTGTCTGAATCTGATTCTGGGGATGAGTATACCTTTGAGGAGTTATATCAAAAGATTGACCAGAGACCTCTTATCCAGGAGCGACCTTTTCCTTTAAACCCCCTTGATCACCCTTTTGTCCGCCAGCTCCGTGCCTCCCAATTGATCGGTTTGGTCCAAGAACGTTCTATGGGTAATGACGCTTTTGTTCGCCATTTTTACACCTATGCCCGATTCCATGGCTCCATGATCGTTGACTTTCGCAATGTCCTTGTCCGCTGTTCCTTTACCGCTGAAAACATCCGTTTCCATTACCGTCTTCCCCCTTGTCGCCATTCGGGTTATTCGGCTTACAAAGACAGCTACCCTTTTGATGATGTGGTCCAAACCTTGTGTCATCACGGAGCCACTTGGCATCGCCCCTGCACTACTGAGCAATACCTTAAGCGATTCGAGTTCTGACCTGAGGCTCGCCCTTGGCTGCATTTTGTCTACAACAACCTAGTACCCACCACCCACCTAGCCAATGTTCCTAAGCACCAAGCCCTTTACATCTACCTTCTCATGACTAGCCGATCCTTTGATGTAGCCGACACCGTTTACTTAGCCCTTCATGATGCCTTCAACACCCCCAAACTCACCAACAGCATCATTTTTCCCACCTAGTCACTGACCTTTTTCGCGTTGCCAATGTCCCCGAGTACAACAATGACAGCTACTTTGAGCCAGCCCCTTTGTTTTGGTATGACTGCCTTAAACAGCTTGTCATTGGACCACCTCCACCCTTCCACCCTGTTTATGATGTTAGCGCAATGCATGCAGCCAGTGCACCAACTCTTGAAGGCAAGAAGGGCAGGAAGATCCATAAGCTCCTGAACCTGTCACCTTAGACACCCTAGCTAATGATATCGATGAGTTGGCAGACCATGTCCACCAGTTGCGAGTCACCCTCCTCTGTGAGATGAAGAGGCAGAAGGACCGCGATGCTCTTTATGATCGAGACCGACGTTACAACCGTCATGTGGATGCTCTGATTGCTGACCGATTGAACTTCCTCCTACCTCTCGAAGAGGAAGACTCTTAGAGCAGAGCTGGGACATCTGGAGCGGGCACTTCTGGTACAGGACCATCTGGGTCTGGGGCAGATGATACTGGAACATAATAGTAGTTCTTTCTTTGTGTTTTGTTTTGTTTCTTGTTCTTTATGTTTGTTTTGAGTCGGTGTCGTTGGTTACTTGTTAAGCTTTTTGGTATTTTCATTTCTGTGATACATTGGATGTTGTTTAACTGTTTGGCTACTGATGGCCTTTTCATTTTGCTGTTACAATTACATTGGTCCCAACTGTTATTTTCCGTATCCTCTTTGTTTTGCATGTGACCTATCACCTTTTCCTTTCTTTTTGTGAATTCGATGTGTTGTGCTTCAATTTCAGTTGGACTTCACAACTTCCGGTTCACTTTGTGTTTGGTTTGCCTGTACTGGTTTAAACATTGAGGACAATGTTGTGTTTAAGTGTGGGGGAGGGACCTCTATTTTTGATTTCAGCAAGTGCTTCATCATGCATCCATTCTAACTCTTTAGGTGTTCTTGAGATACTCATCTGTGGCATTTTTGAAGTCTTTGAGGTTAACTTTCAGGGAAGTTTGAAAATTGCATTGCATTTTGTCTCTCTATCAACCTTCGCTGCGGCAAAGCGCTTCTTTCTCTTTTAGTTTCATTTCTCAGCCACACTTCATCGCGGCCAACCTATGTTTCGCGGTGGCGAAGCAGGCCTATCGCCAGGTTTTGATTTTCGGTTAAGGTTTACCACGGCAAACCCCTTCGTTGGCCGTGGCGAAGCAAAAAAAAACCTTAAATGCTTTGCAGTTTTATTTTTCTTCGTATGGAAATCCTCCTAGCTTAGATTCTTAATACTCATGCATTTTTAAAATTATTGGAAATTCAAAATCATACTTGTGCTTTTAGAAAACCTACCCATACTTTTAAATGATGGTTGAACTTAGACTAGTCATTCCTCACTGTTTTTGACAAAGAGTAATTGAGGGTATGCTTTGAAAATAGGATTATGCGTTTTTAAACCTTTAGATTGATTAATTGAGATACTAGCCTTGCTAGAAGGATATTTGGGCCTTAATTTGTTAAATTATGTGAATCTGTTTAGTTTCATATTTCTCTAGAACTTGCTCTAATTCTTAATCGAAGCTTGATGAGTCAACATTTTGTGAACATGATAGAGGCATTTGTTTCCAAACCCTTATTGCCCAAACAAAAACCCAAACACCTTACCATTGCCAACCCCTTTGGACCTACACTTTGAGTACATGCATGCAAATAAATTGTAGGTATTTTGCTCTGTTTTGGCCTTGAAAAAAAAAAGAGAAAAAGAAGAAGAGGAGGAAGAGGAGTCAGTTTTGTAATCTAAAAAAAAAAAAAAAAATTTTATACTATTATTGGCTTCTCTCTTCAATAAGGTTTATGTTTATTGCATGGATAGAATAATTGTTATGCTTGTACTCAAATTTCACTTTCTCTTTTATTCCATCCATTTCATTTGACCATCACTAAAATTTACAAGCCCCAAGTCCTCTTGATTTGCAATTTGTGGTTCTTGTGGTGGAAAGGTAGAATTATTACAAACCTATGGTAGAGATTGAACTGAACAGACTTGAAGTGAAATAATCCCAAAACAAGTGAGTTGAGAGCTAAACACATATCTGTGAGATAAATATCTTTTACTCAATCTTTTGGATTAAACGTCCATAGTGTTTATTTTCTTAGCATGTCTTTACTTTATCGTTGTCAATCTCCGTGAGAATTTCTTACTAATCTTCTACTATCATCTTTAATCATGTTAGTATTTCTCATTGCACTTGTATCTTTTTGAATCATTTGAGCTTTGTCCAGGAGTACAAAGGTCTAAGTGTGGGGGAATTTTGATTGAGCTCAAATTGTTTATACTAATTGATGACTTTTTTCATATTTTTGTTACACTTTTTGGCTCATTTTAATGATATTTGTGCTTAATTGATATTGAGGGTCCTTATTCTAAGTTAGTGCTATTTGAGGGTAAAATTGTCATATTTATTTACTAATTATATTTAAGTGATTTTTGGGACAATCGATGCCTCAAACTATTTCTTTTTATTTCAGGACACTCAAGAAGAAGAGCCAAGAGTGAAGATCAATGAAGCCTAGCACACAAGACAGATTGACAACTTTGCCAGGTTTTGCCGCGGCCAACTTTGTCTTCATCGCGGCGAAGACACTACTTCAGCAAAAGTGCTCTCAGCCAAGGTTCGCCGTGGCGAACTCCTCGAATCAGCAACCCAGACCTGAACCATTTTCGGAAATTTTACCTACCCACTCTCATAAACCGATCCAATACACCCCATTACTGGTTTAGAAACCCTATTTTCGTGTAAATGACATCATTCATTCATAGCTCAGCCATCATCTACATTTTTTCTCTCATCATTCTCTCACCAAACCCTAATTCCTCCATCTTCCACTGTCACCTTCACCCATGGGAAACACTGAGTCAGTTTCATTGGAGACGCTTCAGTATACCATGAGTGGCTAGGCTTCTTCTAGCTCTTGAAGATGGATGATTGGCATGAGTTCTAAGAGTTTCAAAGGGGAGTTTTAGTTTCATCTTAGTTTCTAGCTATGTATTTATGAATTCCTAGGTCTAGGGTTTGTAAATTCTTAGTGAGATACTTTGGTTGATTCTGTAATCATTAGTTAATGATTTACATTTGTAGTTGGATTGGTTAATGTTGAATCCTATGCTTAAATATATGTAGTCACATATATGTTCCTTGTAACTCTCTTGATTCTCTTCATCTTGCATGGTCATGTTTTGATGATGAGGTGATTTTCTGTTACATTGAACCATTTGCATTAATCGTTCTTAAATTGCACAGTAGGTAAGCTTAACAATGTTTTCATTAATGAAGTTCATTGATTTAAACATTAGACTCAATGAGTTATTGAAGTTGTTCTGAAGAAAACCTAATAAATTTGCGAAACTCCCAATATCTTAAAAGAACTATGATTGCCAAGAATCCATTTTTAAGAGGTTTTATTAACTGTTGAAACACTTGTTTTCCATCCATTTCATCTTAATCTCCCAAAAATCCAAAAATATATTTACATTGCTATTGCATTTTATCTCAATTACCAGTTTTAATGAAAACCCCCAATTTTTCCCACTCAATCTGCATCTTCATGGCATTTAGTTAACCTAGAATCATAATTTCGGCTCCACAAGTGAAACGACCCGAGGTTGTGCCTATAGTACAATCCTTGGTTTAATTTTGATATTAGCCCCAAGGTGTAAGTAAGACAAGTCAAGGCGATTTCAAGTGGGCTTGAACTCTTTGATGGAAAGAGGCTTTTTTTTTTTGGCAAAAGAAAAAGAGGTTTATTTTCAAATTGAGAAAAATAATTTTTATAATCATTTAATACCTAAAAAAATTTGGGAAAAATATTATGAAATATTATCTTGAAGATTTAGGAAAAAATAATTATGAAAATATTTATTTTTCCCTTAGTTTCTCACCTGAATTAAGCCTTTTTAACTATTAAAAATATATTTGAGGTTCTAACTTTCAAAATAATTACTTTGGACCTCATAAACATTTATTGATCTATTTTTTCAAGGCTTTAAAATTCAGTATGTTACAAATATATAATGTTTTTTTTCCTGAAAACAAAACAAATTGGCAAGACGTTAGAACTCAAATGCCCTTAGGATATGGGACGAAAATTTGTCCTATTCCCATGCACCAAGACGGGGTTATCTTGATGTCGTGAATATCCCTAGTTAAAGGAAATCAATTACTCCTCCAGTCCTAAATATAAGACTCTTATACTAATAGTGTGTATAAAGATCTTATATTTAGAATCGGAGAGTACAAACAGAATAAACGATCATGATTTAACTTTCAAATAGACAAATTTTATACCCAGTAGATTACGAAAACTTGGAAGTATAGGGAGTGCTAATTTTCCCTACAAAATAAGTACCAACTTTAACAATGCTATACAGCATAGAGACGAGAAGGCCTTGCGTATAATATGAATTCATTATCAACCTTTGCAGTGCATGCTATACATTAATTACATATATGACGAAAGAACTACCAGCAATATTCTAATCATGACAATGAAAGAATATGACACTGCTGTTCCACTCTGGTACGCTATTAAAACAAAATTTTTCAACGCCTTTTCGTTTTTGTAAGGGTTGTAGTAAGGCTATGTTGCAAAACAGTATTATTCCCTCTTGCCTTCCTCAGGGTCGTCTTCTTGATCCGATGAGGCATTCTCACCTCCAACATTCTTCTCTTGCGTGGCTAAACTTAGTTCGCTTTGTGGCTTCCCATTTGTGAGAGACTGTGCTTCTTCATCATCGGATTCTTCTCCCACTTCGTCTGAATAGGCATACCTGTGCATGCACAAGAGGATATGAATGAACATTGAGATTCTTTGCCAAGCCATTCGAACTGGACTTCACAACATGAAAAGCAACAAAACATATTAACTACAATAAGCACAGCACCATCCTTTCAAGAACTTAAAAACTTCACTGATTTAAAACGCATCAACTCTACTGACAAATGTGTAGTAGAGTACAGATACAAAAGATCCTCCAGCTAAAGTCTGCCTCGACAAATGCATTTCCTTTTCTGATAAATCTCAGACATATTCCCTATTTCTGCCCAATCTGATAAATTTTTGACCTGCCACTGCCCTCATAATAAATCTAAACTTTCAGTTGATCTTCATTTATGTTTTATGAACAAAAGTCAGATGTTGTTGCTGTTTTGAATCTAAACCCATTATGCCTCCCCCATCCAACCCAACAAATTTGCCTGTCAAATGAAGATCTTCTAAGGAGAGCATTGTGTCCGCAATTTTTCATTATAATATATATTTCCCCTCATTTCTAGACCTTAGCAGATGGTTATACTTTCAAAGATCATAACCAAATTTTTGTTTGAGGTAATAAAATGTAAAATATTTTTCTGAAGGAATATCAGAAAATAATAACGTTGAGACAAAATATGTTAAGTTCATAGAAATTGACAAATATAATGCACCTTTGAGAGCTTTGAGATGGGGCCCAGAGATAACATATAACACACAGCAATGCAAATGCATTAATGTCCCAGAAAGCTGTAATAACCCAAGCATTCTGCCATCGCTCATTAAAAGGATCTGTAGCTTTGAAGTATGCCTGCAGAAAAGATTGTAGTACATGGTAAATGCAACATATTGATAAGTCCGAGGGAAATATTGGGCCTGAGAAATTCGCCCATGATAGTACCCACCAGAAACCGAAACCGTTGGTGAAGTGGACATATTCTAGGAAACGAACCAGAGAAAATCAAGGGGGTTTGAGTTGATTTTATTTTGAATTATTTTGAAAATTTATTGATTTATCTTCCAGTATTTTCTGTTGAGAAATAAGGGGGAATAACCATTCCCGTAGAATTAGGAATTATCATTCTGTTATCAGTACTTTCCAGATTTTCATTAGATTTCTTTCTACCTCTGTAAGCTGCTATAAATAGCCCTTGAGCACATGAATAAAGCATCGAAATATTACAGAGTGTTTTCTTAAATTGGAGATTCTCCCTTGGTCTATTAGTGAGTGCCGTGAGATTCTTGCTGCATTTCTCTATTAGAAGATATTTCTTTCCTTGTGTTTATCAGTACAGTATTTAGGTGCTTATCAAATTGGCATCAGAGCCATGGTTGAAACTAGATCTTCCAGAACCACCAACCCATCTGAAAATCCTTTTGCTGATGGCGATCCTCTGACCACCATTGCTGCGCGATTGGAGACTCTGGAAGTATTGGCCAACAGGGTGGCCACTCTAGAGGCAGCATCTGAAAGAAATCGAAGGGGGGCGTACAGATCTCATTGGGAAGCTGACAGCGAAGATGACCCTGAAGCTGCTTATAAACGTCGACTGCCATATACGAAGATTGAATTTCTGAAATTTAGTGGAGGGGACCCCGAGGGGTTGGATATTGAAGGCAGAAAAATATTTTAGATACTATGACACACCAGAGGAGATGAAGGTCGAAGTTGCTTCTATGTACCTGGAGGGAGACGCGTTGGATTTATTCTCTTGGGTCAACAATGAACGCACGGTGATGTATTGGGACGAACTTGTGAAGGCGCTCCAAGAAACATATGGACCGCCGGAGTACCAAAACCCAGATGAGTTCCTCTGCAGCATTCGACAGACAGGAACGATTTCGGAGTATCGCGCGGAGTTCACTCGTAGATCATCTCGGGTCAAAAACTGGCCAGAACACTGCCTACTCGGGGTCTTCATCAATGGCCTCCGCGAAGAATTGAAGGCGGACGTGCGTCTTCACAAGCCAAGGACGGTGTACAGGGCGACCAGTTTAGCTCTTGAATATGAGACTAAGCTGAAATTGAACAGTGGGCCCAAGCCCAATACATATCTGACCCACAACCGTCCCTCTCATACGAACACAACCAGTGCCCGTGACTCCAGAACACTTCCATCGTCCTCTGTGAACCCACCGAGGAGCAACACGCTGCCGAGCTTGCGGCAGCCAGAGCGCAGCAATTCCACGGATTTAGAACGCCAAGCTCGCCGTGAGAAGGGGTTGTGTTATCGCTGCGGAGAGCCATTCCGCCCTGGTCATCGCTGCAGATCCTCTTTTTCACTCCTGGAGATCACCGAAGAGGGAGAAGAGGTTATACCTCCATTAGAAGACACACCAGACACGGAGATGGGGGAGGGTAACGCAGAGATTTCTTTCAATGCAATTCTGGGAAAATCATCGACGTCGACTATGAGGCTTCAAGGCTCGCTACGGGGGCGCAAAGTTCTGATCTTAATTGATAGTGGGTCAACCCACAACTTCATATCAGAGGCTTTAGTTTCCGAACTGAGGCTCACGATTCAACAAGTCCCGGTGTTTGGGGTTCAGATTGGCAATGGGAGTTCCGTCAAGTGTAATCGGGTATGTCACAACTTGGAAGTAAAAGTCTCTGACTTGGTCATCAAACAGGATTTCTTTCCCTTTCCTCTGGGAGGTTCAGATTTGGTGCTTGGCATTAAGTGGTTAGCCTCTCTGAATACCGTGGAAGCCAACTGGAACAGGATGTTTATGATTTTTTGGGTCGACGGCAAAAAATATAAGCTTCAAGGGGTGACGCCTGAAAATAATTCCACGGTTCATTTACACAGCTTAATCCTGACCCCAGCATCAGAGGAGGAGAGGAAGTCACACGGGATTACAGCAACCATCCTTCATGAATTTACAGAGGTATTTAGTGAACCGCAGTCCTTGCCCCCGGCCCGTGGTCATTATCACTCCATTACACTATTACCGAATGCTTCTCCCCCAAATATGAGGCCCTATCGTTACCCTCACTATCAAAAAGATGAGATTGAGTCTCAAATTGCTGAATTGCTGCTACGTGGTTTTATCCGACCCAGTTCTAGTCCATTTGCTAGTCCAGTTCTACTAGTTAGTAAGAAAGACGGATCATGGAGACTCTGTGTTGATTATCGCCGGCTTAATCATCTGACAGTTCCAGATAAGTATCCTATTCCTAATATTGATGAATTGCTGGATGAATTGCATGGGGCTGCCTATTTTTCAAAAATTGATTTACGGTCAGGGTATCACCAAATACTTGTGCTTCCATCTGATATTCCGAAAACTGCCTTCAGAACTCATTCAGGGCACTATGAATTTGTAGTAATGCCATTTGGCCTTACCAATGCCCCTGCCACTTTCCAATCTGTCATGAATGATTTGTTTCGACCCTTTTTAAGGAAATTTGTACTTGTATTTTTTGATGATATACTGGTGTATAGCTCCTCCCTTCCACAACACTTGGAGCATCTCCGTTGTGTTTTTCAGATTTTACAGCAGCATTCCTTTTATGCTAATGCCAAGAAGTGCTTCCTGGGTCAGACAAAAATTGATTACTTGGGCCACATTGTTTCTAATAATGGCGTGGAGGTGGTCCCGAAAAAATAGCAGCAGTAATTAATTGGCCACCGCCTCAGAATGTTAAAGATCTAAGGGGATTCCTGGGCCTCACTGGTTATTACAGGCGCTTTGTCAAGGATTATGGGATGATTGCTAGACCTCTCACTGATTTGACCAAGAAGGATGCCTTCTCTTGGTCAGGACGTGCACAGGAAGCCTTTGAAGCTCTAAAGCAAGCGCTGACTACTACCCCTGTTTTGAGACTTCCTAATTTCCAGCAGGCATTCACGGTAGCTTGTGACGCTTCCATGGATGGGGTAGGAGCTGTATTGATGCAGGAAGGACACCCGGTTGCTTACTTTAGCAAAGGATTCAGTTTTACCAACCGATACAAATCCACATACGATCGAGAACTACTTGCCTTGGTTCTGGCTCTCCAAAAGTGGCGGCACTATTTACTGGGGACCATTTCTTCGTGGAAACTGATCATAGCAGCTTGAAACACTTGTTGGACCAGTGCCTTGTAACTACATCTCAACAGAGGCTCTTGGTTAAACTACTTCCGTTCGATTTTACTATCACTTACAAATTAGGAAAAAACAACTCTGCTGCTGATTCCCTTTCTCGACGGCCCCAACAAGCTGATTTCTTCCAGCTTGTCATTCCTATGGTGGAGGAACTCCAGCAGCTACCTCAGGCGTTACAGGAAGATCCTGAGACAAAGGCTATAATTGATGATTTGCAGCATAATTCCAATCCTACATCTAACTACAGCCTCGTGAATGGCAGACTCTACTATAAATCCCGCCTGGTCATTCCACACCATTCCACCTTGCGAGCTAAGTTGATGGAGGAAGCCCATTCTCCTCCTGTAGGGGGCCATGGAGGTTATCTGAAAACATTAAAACGGTTATGTGCTCATTTGTATTGGCGAAGAATGAAGCAAGATGTGAAGCATTATATTCAGAGGTGTGTGACCTGTCAACAGAACAAGTATCAAACTCTGGCACCTGCAGGCTTACTACAACCACTCCCTATTCCAGAACAGATTTGGGAGGATATATCCCTTGACTTTATCACCAACCTACCAAAGTCTAGGGGTTTTGATGTGATTCTGGTCGTGGTAGACCGCCTGAGCAAGTATTCTCACTTCATAGCCCTTTCGCACCCCTATACAGCCAAATCTGTGGCTCACTTATTCTGCAAAGAAATAGTACGGCTTCATGGTATGCCCCGATCGATCGTTTCAGACCATGACTCCCTCTTTCTGAGCACGTTTTGGCAAGAACTATTCTGCCTGAGCCAAACCCGCTTAAATATGAGTACCGCCTACCACCCACAGTCCGATGGTCAAACTGAAGTGGTGAATCGCTGTTTGGAGACCTATCTCCGTTGTTTCATTCATGAGCAGCCTAAAATGTGGAGTAATTATTTATGTTGGGCAGAATATTCTTTCAACACGAGCTTTCATGTAGCCGCCAACAACACACCATTTAAACTTGTGTATGGTAGGGATCCACCCTCCATCCTACCTTATGTAAAAGGGGAAACTGTTGTTGCGGAGCTCGAAGAACAGCTAGAAATGAGGGATGCCATGCTTAGGATCCTCAGAGACAACCTGTTGAAAGCTCAAAACCGTATGAAACAACAAGAGGACCAGCACCGGAGGGATCTCCAATTTGCTCCTGGGGATGCTGTTTGGTTGCGCCTTCAACCATACAGACAAAAAACTGTAGCAAAACGGCGGTTTGAAAAACTCTCTCCCAGATTCTTTGGCCCTTACAAGGTCATACGAAGGATCGGTCCAGTGGCCTATGAACTAGAGCTCCCTTCAAACTCCAAAATCCACCCAGTCTTTCATGTTTCCCTGTTACAACCAGCTGTGGGACTTGAGGCTCCAATTACACCAGCCCCACTACCCTTGTCATCTGAACTGGAATTACTCCTCACACCGCTGAAAGTATTAGATCATCGCTGGACCCCTCCAAACACACTAGAGTTACTGCTACAATGGGCTAACCGCCCTATAGAAGAGGCCACTTGGGAGAATTATGACACAATTGCTACGCAATTTCCACAGTTTCAACTTGAGGACAAGTCGAACTTTGAAGGGGGGGTAATGATAGTACCCACCAGAAACCGAAACCGTTGGTGAAGTGGACATATTCTAGGAAACGAACCAGAGAAAATCAAGGGGGTTTGAGTTGATTTTATTTTGAATTATTTTGAAAATTATTGATTTATCTTCCAGTATTTTCTGTTGAGAAATAAGGGGGAATAACCATTCCCGTAGAATTAGGAATTATCATTCTGTTATCAGTACTTTCCAGATTTTCATTAGATTTCTTTCTACCTCTGTAAGCTGCTATAAATAGCCCTTGAGCACATGAATAAAGCATCGAAATATTACAGAGTGTTTTCTTAAATTGGAGATTCTCCCTTGGTCTATTAGTGAGTGCCGTGAGATTCTTGCTGCATTTCTCTATTAGAAGATATTTCTTTCCTTGTGTTTATCAGTACGGTATTTAGGTGCTTATCAGCCCAATATTACAGTAGAAAGAAAAGACAAACAAGAGAGATGAATTGGCTGAAAAAAGCGAAACCAGAAATTAAAATGCATATCCTACTCCACAATTTACAAGATGTTACCGGAAATGCTGCAATTGATTTATCAACTTCACCGAAAGCATCTCAGTGAAGATACAATGACATTCTCAGAAGAAAATAACAAACATTCAAGGATAAAAAATGGAGCCCTTTACATTATGATAGAGTCAACGCCTTTGCTCAGACCTATAAAAGGAAAGTCTAGGGACACTAGCGCTAGAGGTTTGACAGTTAGGGTGGCTGTAGACGTTGACATTTCGTTAGGTACTTTTTGTAATGTTCGCTGCTGCTTATATTAGGCGACCAGCTTTCTTTTGTGGGGGTACGAGGTTTTTCTTTTGATGCGGGTTATACCTGTTGGGACTGGTTCTCACGGGAGGCCAGTAGGACCTTGCTCCGGCTTGGTTAGTCATTTTCATATTCAGTTATCTATTGTGAGGGAATAGGATTTTTGAACTGAATCACCGCTGGAACATTTGTAGCTCTGATTCAGATATTTTGATTTAATACCAAAAATCTCAGCATTTCCCTTTTACTTGCTTGCGTATCTTTTATATTTAGATTTGTTACTGGCGTTCTCTGGGAAAAACTTATCACATTAGCTTACAAGAGATGAAGAAATGGGAATGCAGAAAACGCATAAATATCTCATATCTTGACTAAGGTTGGCATTCGTGTATGAGTTGTTGGATTCCTGAACATTGAGCGATTCTTTGTGTTCTTTTGGATAAAACAAAGCACAAATGCAAAATACAATTGGTGAAACTCAAATACCAGCTGATACTGTTTTTGTGTGATATTAAACATGTAGATTATAAGTCATACCTCATAAACTATCCAAGCAACTGAGCATATCACTGTTACAGCCAATGCATTAGAGAACTTCCTATACATATCCAACTTAACAGAACTCCTTTTTGCCTGCAGAAGGAGGGCAAAAGGAAACAATAGTGATATCCAAAAACTGAACATTAAGAATTATAATTAAATACAATAACTTAAAGGTAGGATATTGCAAAGAAAGGAATAAGAGAGAGGCTACCTGTAACTGTTCTAGTGTTCTTGAAAGAGAAGTGAAAATCCATACTATCAAAAATGCATTCAAGAAAGCATTGGGAAGAACTAGAAGGAGCCTTGCCCTTCCTGAGACGTCATTGATGGTCCCCACATATTCAGTAATATCCAGTAACTCCGATGCCAGAAAGTAAGTTATACCAAGCAAAAGCACCTTTGAGGTAAGACCACCAAGAGTAGGCCGAACAACACCATAGCCCATTGAAACAGAGAGAATAATAAGCCGTGATATAGTTTTTCTTATAGCCCCAACAGTGACAACCCAAGTAGTGACTACAACAGGTCTGATTCCTGTATCATTAAAATTGACGTACTCAAAATGCCAAAGAAGCATCTCAAACAATCCAAGAGCAATAATAGCAGTAATACAGTGCTGGAGTAGCAGTATATCCTTCCAAAACCTTAAGTACTGAAGGAACCAAATCATGCTAAGGCATAAATAAGCAACTGCCATAAATATGTAAAAATTCTTTAATGGGGCCATTCTACCAGGCAAGTACCCATCAGGATTTTTCCAGATTGTCTTGCCACTCATCACTGTTTCGTTGAGTTTGGGGTCACATGCAACAAAAAACAAATTATACATTCCAGTCTTTGTGATGGAAACTTCATCATCTAGCATTGCAGTTAAGTAATTCCCACTGAAATGTACATTTAAAATGATGGGCCAATTAATGTCAGTCACAGAACGTCTCCTAATAACTTGCCCTTGCTTACAACCTTCCACTTCAGCTAAATCAGGGGTACAACAAATTGCTCGTTGGCCACCATAAGCAGAACCACCTATATTATCACGATCAGCTGCCTCAAAAATTACAACCTGTACCAACCCAGTACTGTACTCCATTGGTCGATGCCCATCAGCAGCAGCTTTGCTTCTCCAAAAGGTGATATTCTCAAATCTATCAACCAGCCCCACAATAAAGTCAGTGTTGTGAGTTATGACAAAAGAAGGGAGGGATCTACAAGCAATATGCAGCATTTTCAATGAATGGTACGGTCACATTTATTGTTCATGCTTTAGCAGTGGTTGTAATCATGAATATGAATGTCCTTCAAAAATTCACACGTAGTCACCTGTTCTCATGCTACATAAGGAGTTCGATAATATTATGAGAAATATTAAGAGGTATTTCCCAAAATTTTACCGTGAGTATCTAGCAGACCACTTAAATCAGACAAAAGACGAAATATTAAGTGCACAAGCAAATGACCGATTTGTTCAGTTTCTACTTTTTCATTCCAGAGTAATGTGAAGATAATTTGCTGAAGAAGAAAAAACTAATTGAATCAATTCAACAACCAATGATACAGAGCCTTTCAGCCTATTCTTATCAACAATTAATGATCCATATGTTATATGTAACAATCATCTCCGCCTCAAAAATCCCATCCTTTACCCCAGTGATGATCTATAGGTAATGTCTTATAAAACGTGGAAATGGATTTTTTATTGCTGACAAGTGCTCCCAAGAAGCATTTCTCCTTTTGCTATGCTCAAGTGAATCAGTAATTGAGTGACAAGTAGCTTCCAGTTCGTATGAAATTGGCCCTGAGAATCAGTCAGGGGCAGAATAGTACTGGCTGGTTTAAGATAGCCATCACGTTTCTTCAGAAGTGGGACATTGAATACAATGAATTCTGCAATTATTTGAAAGTTCCAACTGATAAGCAACCTTCCTAATACTCTTACCAGTAGAAAAGGGCCAAAGAAGCTTGCATCTAGAATGTTAAAGGAAGAACTATTAAGTAGGTTCCGCTGCAGAAGACGTGACTTCAGGTAAACCAAATCTCCAACGTCAGACTCCCTCTCCATCCTGTTTCCATTAGTCAATTGTATCATCCATCTCTGAACCTTCAGCAAATTCTAATTCTAACGACTGAATCACAAATTCAGTCTCTTGGAAACTTCTATTAAGCGCATTCACGGGCCGGGTAGAAATTCCTAACCACCGAAGATCCAGTTTGCTTCAACTACTTAGGATTCCTAGGATCTTTCCCATTACTCTAAAATAAGCATATCTTTTATGATTTTATTCCAATATAATGGTGTTTGGTTGATCATAACCATGGATCTCCCACGGTAATCATCATTCATTAAAAAGTAGAAATATAGATTCACGACTTTATGCATGTCAATCCTTATCCTCACCCCTTACAAAAATCTATCTACGATCATTATTGTTTTAGTCCATTTTACTCATCATCACCCCATTCCATTCCTATTCTTTCCAACAACCAAACGGGTAGTAACCAATCTCAGTTATTTAGATTTTAGACTAAGTAAACGACTACAAAATCAACCATTACAAACCCGTAATAGTTAGCAAAGCAACCTAGCAAGTTAACATTCCTTGTTTTCAATCTTACACCATTAACTAACTACTCCGTTCAACCAATCCAAATGACCCATTCACCATCAAACTACTAGCCTTGCTCAAGTACAAATATTATTTAGTTGGGATAAAAACAGCACATTTTAAATTAGAGCAAAAAATGAACGTCCCAAAAATGCGACAAACCCAAGGTCTTGTGTTTCAGACTGTGCGATGTGCCAACCCGCTCTAATCAGGACAGGAAAATTGCACAAATGCATATCCCTGTTTCCAACTTTCTTTAACTCATCATACCAATCAAATCCAAACGACATTCAACATTAAACAATACGCAAACTTTTATGTCTGATGAGTGATCAGCGTCCCATTCAGTTCAATCCACATGATTTTTTTTTTTTTAAACAAAGAAGGACAGATTACCGGATATAAGAGCGCCCATCGTGGATCCTCCTATCTGACAGAGGAGTGGCGATGAGAGAAGCTAGTAAACCTTCACTACCTCCGGCGAGAAGGTAAGCATTACCGACTTCTCTGAAGGGCTCATCATGGTAGAAATGGATGGAAGCATCGGTGGTGATGAAAATACAGAACACTGAGAAAAATGATGCGAAGAAAAAGGGATTGACCAGAGCAGATCTTTTCGGATGAACTGCTAAATCCATGCCGAGAAATAAAAGTGAGAGAGAGCAAGCTGGATTCAGCGAAATTGGAGAGAGGAAGAATGCTTGGAGGGAGGAAGAGTAAGACCGAAGACATGTCCGCACAGGCCATCGGTGCAACGTCACTCTCCAATGCCGACAGGGAAGGTAGATAGTAGCTACGCGCTCACTATCAAAATATCAAAAATAAATAAACATAAAAGGAAAGCAAAAAATAAGGCGATACTTCTAATTTCTTTGCTCATATTAACGCACACATATATAAAATAACTATAAATATTTCATTATTTTTTGTAAAATGTTTTAAATTTTAAAATATAAAGGAAATATATAATTATATGTATTATATTTATTTATTTATGTATTTAATAAATGACACACAAGTGTTTTTTCCCTTAGAATTATAAAATATAAATTCAAATTTTTATTTACTCATATGTTGGGGAACTACTCATGTTCTTTACATGAAGAGAGAGTCTAGCTAAGAACAAGTTTGCATGGGTAAAAGATAAAAGTGAACTGTAACATTTTTAAAAAAAGAAGAAGCAGAAGATAAAAGTGATCATGAAGCTAACAGGAAATAAGCATAAAAAAGGTCTAAATTAAAGTCTGTTGGAACTTGGAAGGAAAAACTAACAACTAAATTATGGTATCTACTACATAAGACGGCTTAACGTCATGCTCATGGTCAACGAATCTGGACCAGAACCAGTGTGTCCTCCAAACTCTAGCCATCTCCTCAATGGGAATGCCCTTAGTCTCAGGGAGCAAGAAGTTGACGAACACAGTCATGGCCACCACAAAGACGGCGAAGAAGATGAACAGCCCGAACTTCAAATGGCAGAGCATGGTCACGAATATCTGAGCCACCACGAAAGTGAACAACATGTTGACAGCCACCGTCACGCTCTGGGCCGCCGATCGAATCTCCAACGGAAAAATCTCACTTGGCACCAACCATCCCAACGGACCCCACGACCACGCAAACCCAGACACGTATATGCATATGAACACCACCACCACTATCGCATACCATATCGGCAACATTCCCGGATTCCCATTGGTCCCGAACTTTACTCCGATGAAGATTGCGACTATAATCTGCGTCATCATCCACAAAACCATATCAGATCAGAACATTTAAACTTGAATTTAAAAGTAAGAACCAATATGTGTGTGTGTATAATATTAATATACCTGGCATATGAGCATTTGGATTCCTCCCTCGAGGAAGAGGGCTCGTCTTCCCCACCTGTCAACGCCATAAATGGAGACCATGGTGGCGACGACGTTGACTAAGCCGGTGATGACGGCGGACATGAGAGAAGCGTTGCTCTTAAAGCCGATGGAGTTAAAGAGAACTGGAGCGTAGAACATGATGACGTTGATGCCTGTAAGTTGCTGGAAGAAAGGGATCATGATGGACATAGTGAGCTGGGGTCTGTACTTTCTCTGCAACAGATTCTTCCATGGATGTTCTACTTGCTTGGACGCAACACTAGCCGCGACCAGATCTCTGAACTCCTCGTCAACCTCTTTGATTCCTCGAATCTTCTCGAGACTGGCCCTCGCTCCTTCGTTATCTCCTCGGTCGATCATGGAGTTTGGAGTGTCGGGAAGGAAGAAGCTGCCGACGGTGATGATAAGCGCCGGCACCATAGCCCCACCTAAACTCAAACGCCACCCCAAACCACCCAACTCGGCGAAGAAATAGTTCAACACGTTTGCAATCAAAATACCAATAGTAATTGACATTTGAAACATGACGTTCAGACTTCCTCTGTATTTATACGGGGCCATCTCAGAGAGATACAATGGCACAGACTGCAATAATAATAAGAACACTTTAGTTCATGAAGATAAGTATATGTGAAATATGAAGACAGAACTATAGATAGAGAGAGAGGTTAGAATGAAGGATACCTGATTGCAGAATCCGACACCGAAGCCAAGCAACATGCGGCCAAGGATCAGCATCCAAATGGCATAAGCGAAGCCATTTAACAAAGCACCGGCGAAAAAGAGAATGCCGCCGATGAGCATGGAGTTCCTGCGACCAAATTTGCGGGTCATAGTGGATGCCACCAAGGAGGACAAGAGAGCCGCGAGATATAAAGAAGAGGTGAATGAAGTCAGTATTTGACTGTCATATTGACAGTACTCATTGGTGGACTTGTCCAAGTTTTTCTGCCGATATACAGAAGGGAAGAATCTAACTAAGAATGAATCCATGGAAGTCACCCCACCTGAGTTTCAGAAATTAAAACCCAATAAGGAACATAAAAAAAAGATCCCCATGAGATTAAAAAATGCGAAAACAAGAAGAAGATCAAAGAGAGAGATGTTGATTATTACCAGAAATTCCAATGTCGTATCCAAAGATGAGACCACCCATAGATGCAACAATACATGCTTTGAAAACTGACCAGGTGAGCTTACCAGGGTAAGCTTTATTATTATCGGCAACTACAGCTCCAGCTCCCATGATGAAGAAATAAACGGATCAGAACAGGAGAATTAAAAGGAGGTCAAGATTTATAAAGAAGACTGCTAATTTGCAAGACCTGAGATTTAAGAGTGAGGGGTACGATTGACGAACAAAGCTATATATAAGAATTTTAGTCCTAGTTAAACTAGGGAAACCTAAGGTTGTATGATTTTTTTTTTAAAAAAATGATTCGATAAAAATTTATCTGTTGAGAAATTTGATCTGATAAAAATTTATCCGTTGAGAAACATGAGGATAAAGCAATATATCAACATTCAAATTTGATTTATTGTAGGCTTAATATATCCATTTTCTTCTTATTTTTAATTTTACTATAATTTAAATCAACAATGCAAATTAATCAGAATAAAATTCTGGATAGATACTTATTTTTTGAAGTTTTAATATTTATGTTTATTTAAATTAACAATTTTTGTATTTTGAACAAATAAAAAAAGTTATATTATTCTTTTTTATAGTCTCTATCCGTCTGCATCTTCTCAACTTTAATATAAAACATTTAATAATATTGAATTTTTTTTCATTAATAATATTGAATATTAAAAAAAAAACGTAGTCTGCGTAGATGATACTGCCTAGTCCCCTTGTTGTGATTTATAGAGATAGCTTGATCAACAGGGAGACTTGTCACTTCCAAAATTCGAACGCCATCAATGCTTATCTCCTTGTGCTACCAAAAAAAAAAAAAAAGCTCATCTCCTTGGTAACGAAAGTATTTCTGGCAGGGTTAAAAAACAATCTAAGAGCTTTGATATCGTAATCTTCAATAGAATTTATTTCACAAAATATCTTAAAATATTGAATAGGACTTTAGAAATATTCGATACGTATCGAAGATTAAAGAGACAAAGTATTTTGATAATTTTCTTATACGTATTTAAGACGTATTAGTGGATATATTGTTATTGGACGTGATACCGGCATAGATGCGAGAATAATGTTACATATTTTTAATAGCAACATGCAACAGAGGATATACTACATCCGTCTTTAATATTAGAGTTAAAATGTTAAATAACTAATTTAAAAATATTAAAAAAAATATTAGTTAAGTTAATTATTTATAATAAATAGATGTTATTTTTTTTAAAATATTCCTATTAATTATGTGCATTGAAATATATTTTCATATAAACTTCTTAATATATGCAATCATTGTAAGGATTATTTGATGACAAAATAGATAAATATTGAAGATTAAGTAAGTCATGATCTTATATTTAGAATCAAATTAAATTCTAACTAATTCTTATATTAAGGAACGAATGTGGCACTACATTATAATATAAAATTAATATAATTAATTAAGTTCAATATATGCAGGCAACATTTTCGGCAGCAAACATCATTCTGGTCACATGAAGATACAATCACAAGTATAAGCTAAGTAACCTCCAGATAGATAGTAAGGCTTGTACATTAATCACACAGAACCCTATATATGATAGGTTTCACTATTTATGACTTGTGAACAATAACGTCTTATAGATTTATTAGATATGATATGGATGTTTTTGCGGAAGATAATAATGTGGATGATGATCCTTCATTATTTTCCCTAATCTAGGTTAAGAAGCATGCCTCCAAGTCCTATCTCATTACTGGGTATCATATGGTTGGTCAATTTCTGAGTTATTAAAACATCTTCTTCTGGTAGGGAGGAGGAGGAAGAAGAAGAAGAGGCAGCAGATGATGAAGACTGCTTCTTTTTCTTCTTCCCATTGCTATCTTGTTTCCAAGAATTCTGAATCTGCAGTTTGAACCTGTCCATTTCTGTCAACCTCTCGTGCAACGTCTCTGATCTTTTCCTCGAAGGGATTGGTGAAGAAGTCCATGAGCTTGCTGGGTTCAACTTACCTGGGACAATTAATATATAAAATATCTAAGCTAATTAAGGTTATTTTCATTAACATTATTTTCTCTAACACTTTTATTCCCAAAGCACACTGGGTTTGAAGGATATTATATAAGTATAGCCCCTAGTTAATTAAATATCATGGCTCTATCTATATCCTGTAAACTATATAAATAAGCATTTATTTATATGATTTATATTACAGAAAAACTTTAAAAATTTAATGTAATGGGTTTATCTCCAGAGTCAGAAAGAAATCATGAAACAAATTAAAAGAAAAGTCGTGGATAGATTACAGAAGCTTCCGCTTTTTTCCTTATCACTTTCTGTTAAATAACATGTACATATTGATTTTAAAAAATTCAATATGTGTGTACCATATATACTCGCTGGTTCTTTACATTAACTAAAGTTTTATTTTAATCTTTGAATTTAGAATGATAAGTGTCAATAGTTTAAGGACGCCAGCAGGATTGAACCCCCTTCCTAACAAGGGACTTTCCATATCACTCAGTAGCTATAAAGCCACTGGTTCTTTAATTGAATTATGTATATGTGAATATGAAATGAAATTAATTAAGAAAATAAATGAAAGAGGTATATGTACCTAGGGGAGACATGACAGAATTGCCCAAGGAAAATTGTTTGGGGTTATGCTTGATAAGATGATCACTGGCTGGGCTATATAAATTTCTCGGCTTCACCGGGGGAAGGGCATGCTTGGGGATATAGCTGTCTAGGCATCCCCACAACCTATACCTTGATCCACATGCATTGCACAGAACCGGCTTCTCTGTTGGTCCATTACGCCACATTGGAGTAGCTACATACATATGTAATTCAAATAAGCTGGTTTGAACAACTCTAACACTCTCCATATGACTGCATCCAGTATTGCAACATGGAAGATAGATAGATACAGTGATAAACTGGCAAAAGTTTACCTTTAGTCCCATAACTTTAATTAAAATTTTAGTTTAATCTTTTAATTTTATAAAGTATTATTTCAATAATGGAATTCTATTATACGGTAAATATGAAATAATAACTTTTTCTAACAATTATTTTATTTTGAAAATTAATATTAACCTTAATATTTCTGCATTTGAGAATATTTGGCCAATATTTGAAATTTTAATATCAATATTTTTGTTAACAGGTGAGGATGAAATTAAAAGATTAAAAAGACATTTTAATTATAAAATTAATTAAGGAACTAAAATAAAATCTTATATAACATTGTAGACTAAAAATGTACTTTTATCGAAACAAATTATAGTTAATGTGTTTATCTCTGTTAGCTGTAGTATGGCTGAAAGTCCATTCCTTTACAGAGTGGATGGTTTTATCAGTATTTTCAGCAATTTTCAGCAACTGGCTAGGGTGAGAAGTCATTGCAGGCACGTTATTACTATTAGTTTCTATTTATCATCACATTAACAAAAATAGATTTTGTGTGTGTGTGTGTGTGTGTTCTTTCATGTATTAATTCGCACTTTAATTTGGGATCTTTCCTTGCCGACATATATTGTAATAACCTTCAAGAAGGGTTAGGGATGCGAATTGTTGGGCCAAAAAAAAAAGAGTTATGGATTCGAATTATCTAAAATTAATCTCAAATCTATTTTATTTTTATCTAAATGTTTTAATTAGTTTCATGATTATAATACTTTTCAAATCTCCTTTTCATGTTTACTTATAATATAACGTGTGCACCACAATATTCTTGTGCATATTATGTCATGTTTCTATATATAAGAGATACTTAAAAGTTGTCTCTATTTTTTTGTATTGATTTCTTATTTTATTCTTATTTATTTTGTCTTCAACTCATACTTTCTCTCCTTCCCACTTCTCTTTCTTTTAATAATTTAGTTGTTTTCTCTCATACTCTCTCTCCTTATTAATGAGGGTATTGTTGGAAAAAACATTATACTTTTTGCACATTAATTGTCATCAACTAATTTTAACTGTTTTTTTTATCAACGTAATTTAGTTACTTGTCTCTTATAATAAGGAACAGAGGGAGTAATTTGCATGAAGGTTACATAAAATCAAATTGAGATTTTATGGACATTGCAAAAAGATTATTGTACAAAAATTCAGATTGCAAAATAAAGCGATAAACAATCATATCAATAAATAGTAGAATAATAAGTTTTATTCTACTTCATACACACACACATTATATTGATGGGTTGATCATTTTATTATTAAAGTTAAGAGTAACTACAGATAATAATATAATTTTATCTGATGTCCATGAATATAACAAATGATAATCAATGTATTTATTCAGAAAAATATTTACCAATTTTTTTATTATTTTCTTTTTTAAATTAAAGTTAGGCATGATGACAAAATGATAATCTTATTTATCAAATATACTTGGAGAGACGCAGCTAATGATAATCAAAACATGCATATAAAAAATTAGAAAAAAAAAGTAATGACATACAGTGATGTAAGTTTATTGGACGCCCCTCACAGATATGAAGATGATAATCATACTAAAAGTACTTACAAGTTATAAATATTTAACATTTCTACGTTAGCAAAATTAAAACTTAGAAAACAAGATTTAGATATAACAATAATATTAAAAGAAGAAAAATTATGAATAAGAGTAAGTATTTCTTATTTAGTTATTTATATCAAAGTCATGCGTGAAGACAAATAATGATTTGATTTTATGGATGTTTTTTAAAGGGGCAACACAAAAAATAATGGTCAAAACATTCATTTATTATAACGGTAGAAAACAATAAGTAATAAACAAGAATATAATTTTATTGGATGTACTTAAGAGATACGGCAGATGATAATAAAAAAAAATGCATTTAAAAGAGTACTCCTAAGTTTCTTTGATTATTTATTTTTTTTCTTTTATTAAAGTCATACGTAGCGACAAATGATGGTTCGATTTTATGGATGTCTTATAGGAGGATGACACAACACATGATAGTCAAAACATGTATTTAAGAAAAATAAGTAATGACAAATGAAATGATAATCCAAGCATGCATTTAGGGGGAAAAAAAAAGTCGTGAACTTTTTTATTATTTATTTATCCAAGACAAAACATTCATGAATGAAATATTACAAGAATCACACAAATTCATGTTTAAGGCAAATGGACTAAAAACTTAAACTCACTATGTATTCTCTGGTAAAAAAAAAAAAAACTCACTATATATTGCTCTGAAGTTAAGAGAAAGAAAACTCCCAAACATTGAATTCGCCTTGAGGGATTAATCAATTCATGTTTATTGAAGTACAAGATAAATTGGGACAAATCTAATGAGCCAATTGATCGAAATACTTTAGCGAATAATGAATTTAAGATTCAAGAACATAAAATTAAAAGAAGGATTAATGATGAGAACTCATATAAACTGAGAACAAAAAACTTAGATGGAAACTTACAATCAATTCCACAATGATAACACGGCCCTTTCTTCCCCATTATATTCTTCCTCGCCACCTTCTTCTAATTAACTAGACTTCACAATAATATTTAGTAAAGAAAACACAAGTGTGAGCCAAATTTTATAGTCACAGAAGCAAATAATTACACTAAACTAAGCACAGAAACTTCCAAAACTTTCGATAACTTTATAAGTGCCCATCTTTAATAGCTTCGGATTCTCTATATTTACAAGAGTAATAATTGTAGAGAGAGAGAGAGAGAGAGGAGAATACTTGCTCTTATCTTAAGCTGAATAATTAATTTATAAAAATTAAAAAATTAGTTAAAATAGTTATTTATAAAAGTATGTATTAATTTTCTTAGAATACCTTTTTAGTTATTTACATTGAACCTATTATTTTGATGAAAACTTATATAACCAATAGAGATAGTTTAACTTGGAAAAAACTCATAAATTTAAGAGATAGAATAAATTAAGATTTTATGTTTAAAACTTTAGGGAGAGGAAAAAAATGATCAGCATAAAAATAATCTTTTGTCTCCCTTTTTGAATACATATGTGTGAATACATGTTGATCATAGAGGATTTGATTCCCCCCCCCCTCTCTCAATCTATCTCAGTTTGTTTGTATTTGCTTTGATCTATCATCAAATCAATGCTGAAACCTTCCTTTTCTGTGGTGATTTTTTAACCCAGAAAAGTTAGAACTTAGTCCTTTTTTCTATGCCCATGTGGATGTGTGCCAAGAAATGTTACCTTACCTTCTTTAACCTGCATTTTTTTAGTTTTTCATTTTATTTTCTTTTTTCTAGGTATTATGGTGTGAACTGGTTCTTAGCTTTATGCAGCAGTTACCTAATTTTCTCAATGTTTAAGTCACAGTCACAGCGCTCATTTTATTATCTTATATCCGTTTTTTAGTCTAAAATATAATCAGAAAAGGAATCAAATCACCTGAAAGATTAAAAAAAAAAGTATTACTTGCTCTGATTGTAATTATAAGGGCTAATAGATGAGTTTACTTTGATCATAACTCGAAGTATAGTTCTTTTTAAACCTCACACCATTGCCTTATTAAAAACATACCATAAATATTTTACCCTTCTTAATTAGTGGTAGCATGTCTGGTTCTTTTTCTCCACATCCTTAGAACATTAATTGTAGGTTTCCATTTTGCGTGTGTGTATTATATATCTTTGTAATGTACAGTACATGTACAACTGTGGCATTAATAACGATTTAGCAGCAAGCATAAAATCTTCTATCAAGTTTCTTAATATAAGAGTTGATTTAACTTTTAATTTGTTTCTAAATATAAGATTCAAATTCATTTTATCCCTCATATTTATCTATTTTTTTCAAAGTGGTTTTTATAGCAGTTATACATTTTAAATGTTTTATCAAATGATATTTAATTAGCAAAAGTATTTAAAAAAAAACAACACTTATTTATTACAAGTAATTAATTTAACTAATTTTTTTAATCTACTCAAACTATTCAACTAGCTCTTATTTAGCATTCAATGAATTGTATAGGATCTTAATTAAGAAGGAGCTCTTCCAATAATGTGATTCTCCATTCTTGTATACCTCGATCTTTGGGACCTAACTCTAGCAAGGGTTTTCATTAACTTAGCGTATATTACCTCTTATCTTTAATATAAAAATTAATTTACTAGTTTGAATAAATTAAGAAAACCAATTAAGTTAATTATTTATAATAAATAAATGTTGTCTTTTCTAAAATATTATTGCTAATCAAGTGTACTAACTAGAGCAACCACCATTACAAAAACCACTTTTAAAAAAAAATAAATATGAAAATAAAGTAGATTAAGACATTATATTTAGGACTAAAATAAAAGTTAAACGGGTTATTATATTAAGAACCGGAAGTAGTAATTTTTATGTTATTAAAACTCAAATCGCATCCAAAAATCAGATAATCAAGTCAATAAATTAGTTCTATGACCAGCCGATCCAGAGTTTTGGACACGGATGATTTGGTTGGGTTGGATTTTATATTTTTTCCTCTCCTTGCTAAGTTTGAGATAACACTGCTTTGTGTATAAAAAATTTCATGTTGTTATCACCAAAAAAAAAAAAATTCATGTTGCCAGATTTGTAGAATAATAACTTTATTTTGTTGGATTATATTGATTTATATATGATAAATCATTCACCTGTAAATTGGAGGAAAGAAAAGGAGAGAAATTTTTTTAAGGAACAATAACAAAAAAAAGTTGGAATTTTATAAATACTAAATAAGAAATGTTAACAAAAATTTATTATTATTTGTAAATTTAAACTTGTCAATACCAAATAAAGTTTTATTACCAAATTTGACTTGGCATTTACAATTTCTAGTTTTTTTTCCTGTCATTCTCTCTTCTTCTTTTTTTTTAATGAATATAACTTTAAAAATTTTAATTAATTTTTTAATCTCTTTTTCCCATTTTTTTAAAATAAATTCCGTGATAACAGGCACGGCCGCACGGGGTAAGTGGCGGACTGGCCGTTGATCAAACCGGACCGATCTGAAAACCAGACGGTGGCTCACCGTTCTTTCTCGTTGCCGTGTGATTGAGTCATCCAGGTTTCTTCCGCCAAGGGTCGTTGTTTCGAGCGATACAGATAGAAATGGCGAGAGAAAAACCAACAGCAGTGTTCATGGCCTTCGGTACTAAAGGCGACGTATACCCCATTGCTGTGAGTGCATCTTTTATTTCTATACTTCCATTTCATTCTTGAATGGTTCCCGGTAATGGCTAGAAGTCAGAGAATATTATATGAATTTCAGCTATTATTACCTGCTTTTGATGCAGTTGTTTGGACTAACGATTGATTTTGTTATTTCTGGGAGTCGAAGTTATAGCCTTTTGGTTCACCTTTATGCAGTCAATTTGCAAAAGGTTAACTGCAAGTGGCTCGGGTTGCTAAAAGGTTTATACTCATCAATGGAAGTTGCGGAACTATGCTAATACGTGAAATCCTTCTGGGTAGAATTGCTGGTCAGTGGTCAAATAGAGTTCACCATTGTATAAGATGTTTCCTGGATAATGATAACTTAATTTGGTAATTTCATGTATTGAAATTTTGAACTAGCAATTATAAAACTGAGCTAGGACGTTGTATGGTAGTGACTGCTGGCCATAAGTTAAAGGAATTGGAAGGCTAAGAATTAAGTAGTGTTGATTTTATTTCTTAAACACTTCACATTACTAAGCTTTTTGGTCGGATTTTATTTTTCACTTTTTTTATTGCTAAACTTTGCTCATTCAATTCACCAAAAGCTTGCAGGAAAAGAAAAAGGAATAACTTCTGTGAGATACTTATACAAAAATGTCGCGTTGGAGTGCCCCATTGTGTTTGTTGTATTTTTGTTAACAACATTTAAATTGCGATTAGCTGCATTATTGTTGTTTGCAGGCCATAGCCGCAGCTTTTGCTAGTGACCAGAAACAATACAATGTCATTCTAATTAGTCATTCAGCCCATGAGGTTTGTATTTCAAGTCAAGAAGAGCATTATATTAGTTTAATCAGTCTGAGTGCCCTTGATCTTTAGTTCCAAGTGAATTATAGGTAAGGATAATCTAAAACAAACATCATCCGTAACAGTGCTTAGATGAAAGTAAATCGTTGGTGTGGCTGTGAATTCATTTATCCACTTACCATAGTTCTCCTCTGAGCTGGCACTGTTAATAGAAGAGCAACCATTTCAGTTTACTGTTTCAGAAATCCAAATATTAGCTTGGTCATCTGATCTGATTAACTGAATTGTCAATAAGTAATTTGTCCATCTTCGGTATTGATATATCATAGTTTGTGCTACAGGGTTATTGTAAATTTCCTGTATCAGAAAAAATGTGTTTCTACTGCTGTGATCATCATGTTAAACTTATTTGTCATGTCATTTTCTTTGCTTTTCATACTTCTTGAAATTTATGACGCTTAGCAAAATTCATTGAAGTCATGTTTTCTTACAGAGTTTAAGTTCTCACCTGGCTGAGAAGCATGTTGAATATTGCTCTGTTTCATCACCACCAGTTTTTTCTGCTGATCAGAATAATGACATTGCAGGTTTGAAGAATCAACTTGGATCTCGTTATAAGATATAAAATGTTACGAGGAGGAGAGTTATTGACCTTTTGAATATTTTGTCTTATCAGGAATGTCAGAGTCATCCTTTGCACTGCAGAAACAGGTGGTTACCAGCGATCATAGAAAAGAATGCTATTCTGCGGTTGAAAGGATATTTGGAGATGGCCCCTGCCTGGAGGGTGACCTTATTGTGATTAATTTTTTTGCACTGGTATTTACCTTGGAAAATGAAGTCAAAATATCCTACTATATCTAGTTACTGAAATTATTCTGGGTGTGTTTTGATTCTAAGACTTATTAATCACAGCTGTGACTCGAATTATGAAAAATAGTGATGCTGGAATAGGAATTTCAACACAATTTGTGTGAAACTTTGTTTGTCTTAAATGGCACAAGGAGATTTGGTAGTGGTAGAACCCTCACCCATTAATAGTATAATATATAAAATCTCTAATGAGTTGCACTCCTCACAATGATTAATTGTACAACTCATTTCACTAACTCTTTAAAATGCATGAGAAAATTTGTCTGGTATGACAGCATGTATATTGGGAGAGATTCATTGATTTGTTCCTGAAGTAGCCTTGTGAGCACCTCGGGCTTTTATAATTTCTGCATATAGATGTCCTGTCTGCTGAATTGAAGGGAAATAAAAACTCAATTCTGAATTGCACTTAGCGGTTTCAGGAAGGCTGGAGCCTTGCAGAACTTTTTCATGTCCGTTGCATATTAGCTGCGCCATATGTTGTTCCGTACAGGTACTTTGATTTTCCTCTCGCTTCTATATTATCAAAAATTTTGGAATTGATCTGTGGAGAGCGGTCACTCATAAAATTACTGATGTCTTAATATCATCCCTGGAGGGCTCAAAATTTAAAATTTGAATAAATAAGCTCTCCCTCACTTGTAGTGGAAAACTGGAAATGGAGAAACTCTATTGCCTAAGGCTACCTGGTTGCAAACTTGCCATAAATACATATTTGATTTGGAAACTATCAAGTTTTAAGATGAGTGTTACTAGTGTAGAAAGAAATGACTGAAATGCATTCTTTATTTCATCTAACAAGAGGATGTATATACAAAAAGGATGAGCCTAGGTAATTATGGCTTTTTGAGGGCCTGTCAATATAGCCTGCCCTATACTTCATATCATTGAAGAAGTTTATTTCCTTTAGTTACAATCTAGTTGCTGGAGACAGTTTTGTGAGATATCATCATATTCTGATTATTCATCTAGTATGTAGTGCACCTGCATCATTTGAGCGCCAATTCTGCAAGGAACTTCCTCTTTTGTACAAGTATCTCAATGATGCTCCATGTGACAAGGTACTCCTTCCTTTAGTTTCTGCATGTAATGGTGTCTCCTTTTCTTTTTTCTCCTATCTCTCTCTCTCTCTCTCTCTCTCTATATATATATATATATATCTGTGAGACATGTGATGTGATGGTGTTTTCACTTGCGTAAAATGATTTTCCATCTGTAAAGTAGAAAGCATGATGTAGAATAAAGATTCGTCTACTCGTGCTTCAACCAACGTATCATTGAGAACTCAGGCTTTTATATTAATTTTACTTTTCTTTTGTTTGTTTCCCCCGGGGGGCAGGGGCGGGTTGATTATCTATATTGCACGCAGGTCTGCTGGAAGGATGTGATTCATTGGATGTGGCCTCTTTTCACTGAACATTGGGGATCATGGAGATGTGATGATTTACATCTTAGTCAATGTCCTTTCACTGTCAGTGTTTTTTGTATTTGCTTTTCTGCTGCATTTTGTAATCCAAATTCCATTGCTATAAGTTAGAGCTTCAAACATCTTTTAAACTACTTGACTAAGATTAATGTAGACTTGGTGCACTTAGGAAAAGGAATGGGTGTCCTCTTTTCTATAATCCTTAATAGTTGCTTCTTTTGTGGTTGAAGGATCCTGTAACTGGCATTCCGACTTGGCATCATAGGCCTCAATCTCCACTTGTCATGTAAGCTATGTGTACTAAATAGAGACACTGTTTATAAATACTTAAGCATCAACAATGATCTCTTACGTAAAGAATTGCTTCCAATATATGTTAATTTCTCTTCTACTTGTGCTTTACCAATCTGCCTGTGCATATACACCATAGCACTGGAGAAATCAATATCAATATCAAAATAAAATACAAAATGTTTTGGGAGCCACATTTTTCACAAGTCATAAAATGGGGCACAGGACCCATTATAGTCACCGTTAGATGAACAAAATTTCCTTGTTTGGCATAAGTGGACAAGTTAAATTTTTCTGGTGAAGACTTATTTAGTGTAAATGGTAGAACCCCCCCCCCCTTCTGGGCATGCATGTGTAGTACTAGTATTTATGATTTATAGAGAAGATATACAATATATAACTCTGATTTTTGAGCTGATTCTATGCGACAGGTATGGATTTAGTAAAGAAGTTGTTGAATGCCCTGGTACGTTTGATGTCTTTGGTAAAAAATTTATACCTCTTCACACCACCTGTATTTATTGTTGTCATCATGGTGTTACCCGTTGAGTTTTTTCCTCAAAAAGAAAACTCTAGAGGTACTTGCTTTCTCTTGTTTTTGTTTTCTGTTTACATGTATGTCCTTTACTTTCCTTTATTAGTATTGCGACATGGTAGCTGCAGTGTTTGTGTGTGGGGCTAGGCCCAAAGATTTGATCCTTCAATTTGCAGTGTTTCGTTAGGGATGAAGTGATGCTTCCACTTAGTGCTTCTCAAATTATGCTATTACATTCTATTGTCTGTTAAGGCCAAAGATGTAACCTCTACAACAATGAGCAAAGGGATCTGCAATCAGTATGCATAAATACTCCTAATGTTTGCTTGTTAGGAGTGAAAATAAGGAACATTTACTGAACTTACTGTTCAAAGTCATTTTGCCTAGCATGTTTAGTTGAAAATGGAGGAGAAATTTGTTTCAAGTCAAATTCTATGATTAACTATGCATGATCAATAGTTTATTGTGAGAACTATATGAAGTCAAAATTAGTTGGGAACTGGCATGTGCCCAAGTTTTGTTTCAATATCCATGTAGGCGGATATAAATGTTATAATCTGCCTCATTCTTGACAAAATTTAATGTGCTATTTGGCGGTGGTATGGGTGCAAGATTCCTCTAGGTCACTAGTTTTAAGAGTTAATTTTACCCTACTAATTTTAGGGCATTGACAGCATATTGGCCATCAAAAGTACGGATTTGTGGCTTTTGGTTCCTCCCTATGGAATGGCAGTTTTCATGTACAATTTGCAGAGAAATTTCAGTTGTTGACTCGTCAGAAAATAAACATGCTAAAGAGCACTTATGTCTTAGACATCAAGCATTGCAGAACTTTTTAAAGACCACACCAATTTTTGTTGGGTTGAGTTCTATAGGAAGGTATGAATTGTTTTAAATTTGACTCTTAAGTTTTTGTGACCACGTTGTTTGTTGATGTATATTCTCTATACCTAACTTTTCTGCTTTTCACGCAGCATGGGTTTTATGAAAGACCCTCACTCGTTTATCTGTGTTCTTCAGACTGTTCTGGAGATGGCAAATTTCAGATTTATTCTTTTTACAGCGGGGTATAAACCCTTAGAACTAGCAATTCAGATGTTTGCTGTTGAAACGTCAGATCAAAGATGTGAAAGTGGAGATTGTGTTTCTCTTTTCAGTGGGCGACTTCTTTGCTTTTCTGGGTGTGTTTTCCATTTGTCTTTAGTTGATCATTAAAAGATTATTAGTTTTCATTTTTCTACTGATGCTTTTTGAAAAGAAGCAAAATGTTTATTGAGCGACTATTCTCTTAAAAGTGACTGTTCTTTCATGTGAATAGATCCATACCATATGGTTGGCTTTTCCCAACATGTGCTGCTGTAATTCACCATGGAGGCAGGTGGGAGAATTTGTATTCTGATCCTTTCGATGTTTTGATAATTTCGCACTCTAAGGTGCCACTTGCAGTTGCTAAACTTTTGTATTTTTTCCCCCCTTGGATTTAGTGGAACTACAGCTGCTGCATTGCAGGCAGGTGCGCCGCAGGTTAGTAAGGAACTGTGAATTAAATCCTTGTTCCTGTACATGCTTTATTAGATGCAGGATCTTCTTACTTGAGAAAGTGAACAAAAAAGAGCAATGGCCATTCTTTGTATTAAATTTGCCTCTATGATATACTGAGGGATTGCTGTGTTATGTTAGCTCAGGTTTCCTGATATACTGTTGCCCACATAATGATTTGCTTGATTTTTGTGTATTTATGTATGATCACTTTCTTAAGGTTTATGGACTTGAAAGAAAAAGCATGGGGAAGAGAAAACTAGAGGAGAAACAGGGTAGAAAATAGATTTCCCTTGTTTGGATTTGGATAGCAAGAAAAATAAGGAAAGAAAAGAGAAGGGAAAAATGGGCCTGAGGCTCGCACATTTTCTCCCCAAAGTTTTCTTTTCAGAAGTTAAGAGATTTTGGTGAGAGAACATGCTTTCCTAAATTTCCCAAAGAAGCGAAAAAGGGTCATGGAGCTTACGTTTTTTTAATTTAGATATTATCATCATTGTGAAATTAGTTACTTTCCTTTTCTCTGTTTTTTTTTTTTTTTTGGCTCATCCAATCATAAAGAGAGAACTTTTTCTCCATTTTCTTTTCTTGCATTCTATCTCTTCATCTAAACAATTATGGTTTATGAAGTTGCCATTTTCATGCTAACGACTTCACTGTGTATAGATGCGATTTGGATAATCTAGTCAAAAATCAATTATTTGATGAAATAACCAAGTTTAGAATTGTGCATGGCTGTTTCAGTGTTCGAAAATATACCCAATTGAGATAAGGAATTCTTTAAGATTTTGTTGGCAGGCATAAGTTCCTGCACTTCTAAGTTATAACATTTCTTGATTAGAAAGTTAAGATTCCTCATCATCACGCTTCCTAGTACCTATTGCTTATTGTCACTCGCCAAAAAACAGCAGTGACCCGAAAAGGATACAAGGTTAATCTTGGTCTTGTAAGCCTATAGAAATGAAAAACTTTTCTACTCCAACAATCCACAATACAAGTCACTTTAATTAATTCATCAGAGCTGAAAAATGGTAGTTAGCTCATTTAATTTGTCTTAAATTGAAAATTATTTTCAACTTTACCCTTACTAAATGAGGTTGTGAAGGAGAGAGAAAAATACAGAGTTAGATTTAAGTGTTAATTACGGGGACAAAATTGTCAAATAAGCATTGGTTTCTCGCCAAGTGACTTGTGCTCTGGACCAAGTCGTTCTTCTAAAAGTGACTTGTATTGTGGACCAAAGGGACAACATGTGGATAAGCTAATAATTCATCTCTTCAAACGAAATTTCTAAAATTCCAGCGGTCATTCAAACACTATGAGCCCCTAACCTATAAGCTTTGAGCTAATCCGCATCTATAAGGGTAGATTTAAAGTTCCCTATAATCACGAAAAGCGCACATACAATACATTGGTTATTTAGTACCTATACTAAGTTTGGATAAGATTATGAATATACCACCTAAAGCCATTACTTATGGTGCAACACTCGGCTAAAAATAGACCAAAAGTGGAAGAATGATTTTCAGTGTAAATGGCTTAAAATTATGCATGGATGGTAGAAAAATTTTAGAGAAGGGCGTGGACAAAATATATTATTCATGCTACCCTTAGATAGCTAAACAATATTCTAATTCTCGTGCTAATTTCTATCAGAAAATTTGGATCATTACAGTGATATTCTGTCATGCTTGGGTGATGACCTGGTTTGTGTCTACGACATTCATCCTCTGCATGTATTTTGTGCACTTTTGGCTTTATTGTGTCATGCTATGAAAACTCTCCCGGCCCTATAAAACTCTTGGGATGCTGATGATGTATCTTCAGATGAGCTTGACTGGTTTCAGCAAACTTGCAGGTTGTGTGTCCTTTCATGTTAGATCAGTTTTATTGGGCTGAGAGAATGTATTGGCTCGGTGTTTCATCGGAACCACTCCATAGAAACCATTTGCTTCCTGATAAAAATGATGAGAGAAATGTCCAGGAAGCTGCACATGCGCTTTCGTCAGCAATACACAGTGCATTATCACCCAAGGTCAAAGCACGTGCAGCTCAAATTGCTGAAAGAATATCAGATGAGGTAATGCCTATTCATCATGTGGGTTATGCAGTTAAGAAATTTTCTTCTTGTTTAGCTCGCTACGTAGTTTACAGTGTATACTTTATTTTGTCTCATTGCAATATATGAATAATAAAACAAATATCTTTATAAAAGATTTCAGGCGAAAAACACTTAGGCGAAAACCTAATTGCTATATGTTTTTGAAATAAAGCATGCCACATTGATGGATAAACATTTATTTGTTTGAGTCATTAGCATGATGTTGGGCTGTAACTGTTGGATATTCTACCTATTGGTGATGAGATTCCTCAAGATCTCTGCCTTAATTGCTTGCCGTAAAACTTTAGGTGAGTTTAAGTTTGGAAATTTCACTAGTTATTGTAGGCCTCACTACTTAAGTAATGATTACATAGTAGCAATGGAATTCAAAATAAAAGCGTGTATTGTCCTTTTCACTCTATTTAATTTCAATTGTGCCGAGTCAGTTGCCAAGAATATGACGTGGAAACCCCACTTTGGATGTGATGACCTTGATGGTAGTTAATTTATAAGTATCTTTATAAGCTTTTTTTTGAATCTTGAAGTATGTCTTAGTTCTAGTGATCCCCCAATATCTAATTTACCTAAACTTCTGTTCAAAAAGCAAATTTCTCAACTTTGTTTTATGTATCGGTATTGCATTGTCATATGTGACTGTCTGCAGCCACGGCCTCACGTTTTCTTCAGTATGAAATGTCCATGGCACAAACAATTTTTTTATTGGAAGTCTTGGTAGTAAAACATTTGGAAAATTTTCATCCATAACTTGTGTCTGGCAAGGTGCCATGACTATGCTGATATGTTTTCACAATGATGCTCCAAATTACAGGATGGTGTATCAGAGGCAGTGAAGGCCCTCAAGGAAGAGCTAGGTTTAGTCTGAGATGGGCAAGGCAATTACATTATTTCCAAGTATTAATACATCATTTATATTCATTGTTACTTCAAAATTCAAGGTGGAGAATATGTTTATCTCAGCTGTGACGGCATCAGGTTCTTTTGACACGTTGTTTCCATGAGCCCCTTCTTGTAAATAAATTGAGATTCAATGACGTGAAAGTTTAGGTTGTGTTTAAATTTGAGTTCATTGAACTTTACTAGAAGTTAAAACATTGAAGATGTGAAGAATGATATTTAAACTAAATCATGTCAAAGTTTAAGTTTAATGGATTCAATTATTCAAAATCAAAATATTGTTTTTCTGGCCAAAAGATGCCTTCAAAATATGAGGAGCATTTGTTTGACCATTTGAAATCGTCAAAAACTAGTAGCAAGATCAATATCAATTGAAAAATATGAAATATAGAGCTAAATGCACATTCGTGTCCAAAGATATTTTTTACGGGATTACAGTACTTCATGATTTTCATTAGGAAACCATAATTTTTTCAGAAATATCTTCGGACACAAATGTCCACTTAGTTCTATAAGATGATATTAAAATATATGATTTTTAGTATAAGTTAGGCAGTATGATATTAATTCTTTTTTTTCACAAGTTATCCATATTTAAAGTTTGATACACTTTTTCACTATTGAGATGCAATTTATAGTTTTAAACGTGAGTAAATTTTAAAAACGTATCTTCAAATGAAATTAATTACCTAACCAACTCTTCTTGATTTTAATGAGTTGATTAGAACGATTTGCTTTGCGGTTTCAAAATATAAGTTAATTTCAAGCATCTCATTAGAACCAAATAAAATCTGTTAACTTATTTAATAAGATTAAAGTGTATCTAACACATTAAAGTATTTTGTGATTCATTTAGCATGCTAAAATATTTTCAAGTGCCTCTAACACCTTGAAGTATTTTTCTTTTACCTTGATGGTAAATGCATCAAAAAATATTTTAGGGTACTGGACATAGAAAAAAATTATTTTAGAGTGCTACATACACTAAAAAATATTTTAAGATATTGGATACGTACTTAAAAAAAAATTTCATAATACTAAATGCACCACAAAATACTTTAGGATGCTAGATATACCTGATAAAATATTTAGGGTGTTAAATGCACCTTAGTCCTACTAAATATGTATTGAATTAAATTTCTTTTATGCAACTTTACTCCTATTTAAATTCGTCTCACATCTCTCCTATCTTTTTCTAAAATCCAATGTATACAGATAATAAATAAGGAAAAATTAAAAAAAAACTATAATTAATAACTCTCTAAAATGACTTATAGATAAAAAAAATTCTTCCAAAGACAAAAATCACCTTGTAAGCATCTTGAAGTAGAGGGAACATGACTGTATGTATGGACCTGCCTTCTAGTTCTACACTATCTGCTCTTGCAGATGTATTTTTATCTGATCTTTAATAAAAGTTGACTTTTTATCGAAAAATAAAAAAAATAGAGGCGGAATAACATGACATGGGCACGAGGGAGCACAGAGTAATGGAGATTATTTATACCTTTAGGCCTTTGGAAAACAAGTTTACTTAACATTAATTACATACGTTGAAGAGTTGTACTGACCATACACACATATTTAATGCCCCTAATGATGTGAGAAGCAGGTGGGACCTTGAGACTTGAATGACCATTAAGTCTGCACCAACCCTCCTTCTATAAAAATCACACTCCTCCAAACCTAATCCATCCCACCAAAGACCTAAACTATCACTTTCACTGTCACACAACAACAACCATGGCTATGGGAAGAGGCGGTGCAATAGTCTCAGCTCTCCTTCTGCTATTCTGCTTCACGGAGATGGCTCAGGCCGCCACCTTCACCGTCGGAGATGGTGGTGGTTGGACATTTAACACCCAACGATGGCCTCAAGGAAAGACCTTTAGGGCTGGAGACACACTTGGTTAGTACTTTATATATATATATATATATATATATATATTGTTCATCATGCAAGTCTTGTTCATTTACTTTCTCATATGTCATATCTCATTTTTTTCATAACAAAAATGGGTTTTGAGGGCCCAGACTCAAAGAAGACTTGCTGAGATATTTATAGATTGCTTATTAACAGAGTCCTTGTATCACAGCCTTGTGGATTATAGTCTTGTTGGTTATGTCATACCTCATTTTAGGTCTTCATCTTGTATGCCATTTTCATTCTCAACAGTTTCTGCATTTGGAAAATTTTATTTTCTTTAAACTGAAATGTGCAGTACCGGTGCACAAGTTTCTTGCAACTGCATCGAACTTGCTGCCACCGACGGATCTGAATCTCCTAGAGGGGATTTTCTTTTCCCTTTTTGCCAGATCCTAGAGGGGATATATATTGAATAATAACGAATTAAATATTCTTATATTACATATAAGATTTTTTTTATTTATAAAGGTAGTCTCTCTTAAGAGACATTAATACCGACGTAAAGTTTTTAACATTCTTTTCTGATTTTTCTGCCATTAATTTCTCTCTAGTTTTACTATATTTATCACCTACTTATTCACTTTTTATAAATAAAGGTATTTTTAAATTTTGAAAACATGACTTGTGAAGTTAAATTTTTGTTAGTCTCAGAAAAAAAAAATAACTGATGTCCTATTTATAGAGCAAAAATAGAAAATCTTTTTAATCTTATTTATAAGTCATTTCATTAATATGAATGTACTATTTTATCTTTCATTTATTATAGTGAAAATGATTGTTTTTTTTAAAGATATATATATTAAATAAGAAAAAGTTAGAAAGTTATTATATTTTAATGGAAAGTTAATGCATTTTAAAATTTTTCTTGATTTATATGAAATATGTTAGAAATATATTTATATTGATAAATAAAATATTTATATATTTTTATTTATTTTGAGGGGGTTGAAGTTTGTCAGAAAATAACCCGAAGTCAAGACTCAAGAGTCTGGTATCATTAATGCCATAGGTATGTGGGGACATCGGAATCAATGTAGTAATTCAGTATTCTTGGTCAAAAAAAAAATTGGCAGTATTACTACTACCGTACATAGGTCAATGGTTTATAAATGTTTCATTAATATAGTCGTGAGAGTCATTAGTGTATGATTAATTGCTATAATATGCAGTGTTTAACTATCGTCCTGGGACTCACAACGTGGCGGTAGTAAACAAGGCGGGTTACGATGCATGTAAGACTCCCTCAGGTTCAAAGGTTTTCACGTCAGGGAAGGATCAGATCAAGCTCGTGAGGGGCCAAAACTACTTCATCTGCAATTACCCAGGCCACTGCGAGTCCGCCATGAAGATTGCTGTCAAGGCTCTCTGATTTAATTATTATTATATTGCCAGAAAACTAAGACTTTTAATCTCTATATATCATGCATGAATAATAATCTAGTATCTGTCTGTTTTAGTAATTCACTATTCACTTGTATTATTATGTGGGTGTGAGAGAAAAGTGTGTTATTATGATGTACTAGTAATTATATTAATGATGCATGTTTGCTGTGCTTTGTAGTGCCGAAAATGGATTGAAGTACTCATTTGTCTCCTTATTTTAGGACATTCTCAACTAATTTTCACATAGTAAGGAGTAATAGTTAAAACGTTAAATCTATCATAAATTAATAATTTTAATTTTTGGCAAGATTACCCTAGCTAAAAAAATTATGTAGATAGATGAACACGGGTTCGATTAGCTTTTTAACGTTAAACCTTTGTAATTGTTAATAAGGGAAAAATTGAAAAGTAATAATTAATGAGCTTCAGCTCAACAAAAAAAAAAATTAATGAGCTGGTCAATGACTTATGTTTAAGACCAAAAGCCCTATAATAAGGACAAGAGGAAGTATTAAGCATGGTTTCGTTCTTTTTTGTTCAATGAGCAAAAGCAGTCAAATTTCATATGCATCTAAAACATATTTTAAAATCTGTTCCTCATTAAAAATTACATATTAAATTAGAATCATTAAACTAGAATAAGCTGATAAAGGCATTTCAGTCCAAAATATTCCACTGGGGACGTAATTATATGTTAAGATAAACTAATTATCTTAAACTGTATGAAACAATAAAAGTTAATTAGTAAGAGTATACAACACAGGCCCGACAAATCTCTCTTGTTCTTCTTTTTTACCCACCTTAATCACTGAGCACCCTTTTCAAAGTCCTTTGTTGTCTCTTCACGATGATGATGATGATGATGTTGGAATGGGAAGTTCCTAAGCCTCTTCATCTATCCACCAACCCTCTCCATGTAAATCCCCAAGAAAAATGCCCAAACCTTGTGTTTGTTTTCCTGAGAAGATCCGCTTGGAAACAAAGATTGGCGATTGAGATGAGTATCTCAAAAATCTTGATGCTTTGATGTGGTAGACCATGAGGAAGAAACGTAAGTTCAAAAACACAAACTAGAAAGTATATATAGGCTAGTGAGAGAGTGAGGCGGACTTTGAATCATTTGAGCCATGATTTAGGTTAGAGACTTTCAAATTTAGGTTTCCATTCTTTTTGTTTTCTAGACTATAAATTTCATCCATTTTTTTTTAAGTTAAATGTTCACAGAATAGTATTGAAATCTACTTTCACAAAACCCAATTCAGTTTATCCGTTTTAACTTATGTTCATGTAAAAATGGCGCCAAAAACCAAATTTTTACTAAACAAAAACCAAAACTCAATAAAGCCAAAATGAATTCAGTTTGGTTTTGCTTACCCTTAATCTAAATTAATTGATTACAGTTTACTATAAAATCAAATAATGATATAAGATTATTTATTGAAATCTCACATTATTGGGATTTATCAATGAATTTACCGAGGCTTCTATCTATAATTTTATACCTTATTTGTGAATCTCGACTACACCTCTAATTATGATTACATACTCTTCTTCTATTGGAACTTCAATCATACCTTACAATTATGATCACATAATTTCAAAACATTTGCAGGCATCATTCAAATTTGCGATATAGGCTAAGATGTCTTGGTGCCACTTGAGTCAGACGCTCCTACCATTATGATTGTATGATTTGGTATATGCATATATAGTTGCATTACGTAGTCGAATTGGCCAAGTATATAGTTTACAGGCTCAAAGTGTCACTGACAAACTCAATTATTTTTATATATTTTGATACTTTTATATGGGTTTTGTTAACTTAATTAGTCTTTTTTGCCTTAATTGATTGGCAATTGATTTAATATATTTTATTTTGAATTATTAATTTTTAGGGGCAAAATTGTCATATTTTGGTTTAATTATGATTAATTGATTTTTAAGGACAATTAATGCTACCTTATTCCTAAATTTTGATTGTAGGTTTTTGAAGATTTAAAAATAAAAAAATAAAAATAAATAATTAATACATATGATAATAAAAGGGGGGAGCAAAACGCAACGTTTTGCCCCCTAACCTAATATCCTAGAATTCATTCATCTTCTTCATCCAGGAGCAACCAGAGAGCCGAGGGAGCAACGGCAGAGGAGCGAATAGGGAGCAGAGGGGGGAGATGAGAGGAGCTTGATCTGTTCTACACCAATTGGCGTTTCCGTTGAATCTTTCTGGTGGTAAAGAGAATCAGCAACGGTGAACACAGCAAACGGAGAAGAGATAAGCTCGACGGCGGAGAAGAGAGGCAGAACGAAGGGGAGAGAGGCGACCAAGAGTGAAGGACCAGAGCTTAACAGCGATCGCACCTCCAGATTCTGTTTCTTCACTTCGAATCATCATCTTCCATATTCACCGAAATCCACCATCACCATTGCGTTAATCTTCTTCTTCTCGGCTAAACAAAACGAAGGACCAGAGGAGGCAGAGCGAGTCATCGACTTATAGTGTTCACAACCGGTGAACTCTGTCTGATTCCCCATCAAATTTCATCATCATCTTCGATCGTTTTTCTCCAGTTCCTCACTGTTCTGTCACTGTCTTCGGCATCTCTTTGATTTTTCCAACAGCTTCTTCCTTGTTCTTCATGGCTAGACATAGTAGACTATTGGAGGCAGTATTTCTCAAGGGAAAACTGAGGCTAGAGTTTCATGATCTTCCAATTCAACAACAATGACAGGAGCTTAGATCTTTAAAAGGGAGTTTTAGTTGCTTGAATTTCTTACTCAATAATTGTTTAACAATTCCTAGGTCTTAGGATAGTTTTTTTGATTGTTGGGATAATTGTATTGCTTAATCTAATTATATTTGGAGGTTATTGTGACTGGATTATTACTTAGCATTTGACATTGGGCTGTTTATAACTTTAATTTCAATTATAATGTTGTGGTTATGACATTTGTATTGATTTTGGAGTTAATATATTGTGATTTTCTAAGGTGATTTGAAATCTTGGATCATATTGTCTTTTACTAATTTTAATTTTATTGTTTTGGATTTAAGAGTTCTAATTAAGCGTTGGTTTTTAGCATCCTTAATCCCATTTTATTATTCTGGTTGCAGTTAGTAAGTTGGGATTTTAGGAAAATATTTTGTGACAATTCGAGGTGGCTCGGTTGTTGGATTAAAAGCTTAATTATAATTCTTAATTCATTATTTTAACTCCCGTATCTTTTGGAGTGAGGATTGCCTACGTTGTTGAATTGGAGGATTGATTGTTATCATTGTTATTTGTGTATTTCATTTTCATTTCTTTAATCTTCATTCATTTTAATCATTTTTATATAAAAACAAAAAAAAAGTATTTTAATTTCAATTTAATTCAAAGTTTTTACTTAGCAATTACTCTCTCCGTTCCTTATTATAAGAGACGAATAACCGAATTACATTGATAAGAAAAACAGTTAAAATTAGTTAAAAACAATTAATGTGTAAAAAGTATAATTTTTTTGCAAAAATGCCTACATTAATAAGGAGAGAGAACATGAGAGAGAATAATTAAATTATTAAAAGAAAGAGAAGTAGGAGGGGGAGAGAATGTGAGTTAAAGACCATAAGCATCAAATGTCTCTAATAATAAGGAACAGAGGGAGTATCAAATTAAAAATCCTTTCTATAGTTTAGATTACTTGCATTTATTTACTAGGATTTAATTTTGTTTTCAGCTCCTCAAAGTAAATACGACCCGGATTGTGCACTATATTGTATTAATTCGGTTAATTTTTGAAGTAACCCCAAAGCGACAAATTAAGGACAATTAACTTCAGTCACCATCAACTATTTTGAGCTAATAATATGAGTCGAATCCTTTACAATATGACCCCTCAAATAATATTAAATGAATGGGTTGGTTTCAAAATGACTCAATTGTCCTCAGCCATTTATTTTCTTCAAATCAATAAAATATTATTATAAAATGGTACGCAAACCTTGGTGCTTTATTTAGTATCTACGTTAAGGTTGTTATAAATCTAGGTTCTACTTTATAAATTATTATATAAATAATTTGACTTTCTATAAATTTTATATATTAGCTAATTGATTTAGTTGAGTAAATTAAAAAAATTAGTTAAATTAGTTATTCATAATAAATATATGTTGTCTTTCCTAAAATATCTTTATTAATCATGTGTATTAGCTAGAACTATCATTTGATGAAATATTTAACATGTGCAACTACTACAAAAATTATTTTGACAAAAAAAAATAAATATGAAAAATAAAGTAAATTAAATATTATATTTAAAACCAAATTAAATATCAAACTAATTTTGATATTAAGGGTGGTAGGTAATATATTGGTATTAAATTCAGTTGTTTTTTTGGGCCTCATTTGGTTGGAGGTGAAAATGGGATGTAGAGTAGCTTTTGGTTTGGCTTCCATAGACATGCTAAATAAATTTTTTAATACCCACTCCCACCCTACTTTTTTTCCCAATTTCTATTGGGAAAATCCCAAAAAAAACCCCTAGAATATACCAAATCCCAGATTGGGTCCTTAAATTTCGAAAATGACAGAATGGGTCATTGACCCAATCTGTCATTTGTGAAATTCAGGTGAATTGACATTTTTGCCCCTGAGCAAAAGTGAATAGTTATTCTCTAAACAAATCTAGGTAACGCTTACACTGTTCTAGTGATTACAAGATTCGTTGTAGTTAATAATAAGGTACCTGACAATAATAAGATACCTGACTATGAAAAAATGAGTAGTTATTCTCTACACAAATCTAAATAATGCTTACATTATTCTAGTGATTACAGAATTAGTTGTAATTAATAACAAAATACCTGACTATAAAAAAGTGAGTAGTTATTCGCTACACGAATCTAGGTAACACCTAAACTCTTACAGTGATTCCTTGAATCATTGTAGTGAATGAATAAATGAGGGTAAAATTGTCAATTCGCCTGAATTTCACAAATGACAGATTGGGTCAATGACCCATTCTGTCATTTTCGAAATTTAAGGACCCAATCTAACATTTCCTATATTCCAAGGACCTTTTTTGGGATTTTCCCATTTCTATTTTCACTTCTTTTTCATTTCCGTAAAAATCCCTTCCAAAACATCACAGGGCAATAATGATAAACATGGGACATAATGGCTTTCCACACCTTTAGTTTTGAAACGAGAAAAAATTAGAACAATTTTTAAATATCTATTTTCAAGGGCAACTACTAACTGGAACCGCTAAAAATTTAAATATTTTGACACCACCAGCCAATGAACAAAAGTTTTTTTTTTTTGGGGGGGGGGGAGACGATGAGCAAAACTAGCCTTATCTTTCTCTGTACTTTACAACATACCATTATTCTCACTAAATAGGTTAGTCATGGATTTCAAAAGTCATGAAATACTTTAAACCTAAGATCTCTTGCCTATTCACACACCCCTTACTACTAAGCTATACTCCCTCCGTTCCTTCTTATAAGAGACATTTGATGCTTATGGCATGTTCCCATATATAAGAGACACTTAAAAGTTGTCTCTATTTTTTTGTATTGATGTCCTATTTTACTCCTATTTATTTTGTCTCCAACTCATACTCCCTCTCCCTCCCACTTCTCTTTCTTTTAATAACTTAATTATTCTCTCTCATACTCTCTCTCCTTATTAATAGGGCCATTATTGGAAAAGCCATTATACTTTTTACATATTAATTGTGCTCAACTAATTTCAACTGTTTTTTTCATCAACGTAATTTGATTATTTGTCTCTTATATTAAAAAACGGATGGAGTGCCTAGCGGCATTAAATACTGTTTTGTTTTCCTCTTCTTGTCCAGCTCAAAATTTCGATTACAATATATACAACAACAACAACAAAATTATGCACTCCATTGTGATGAACTTCATCTTCCTATCCTATGGTTTTTGTTGATTTTATGCTCCAGTGCGCCATTTCAATGTGACAAAATTGGAGACAAGGATGTGTACCTTCATTATCCATCCGCAATCTCCAAATAATGACTAAGGTTATCCCCAGTGAGCTATGTTGAAATACTGTTTCCAATTTCAGGATTTTCTTCTTGAACTATTTTTTCAGCAGGGTTTTCCATAGCCCAGACAGAAGCATCTTTCACCCCATGTTCAAAAAGCCGGTCAAGAATGTCATCTTCTGCTGGCTCAAGCGCCCATTTGAAAAGCTGAAATTATTTATAGCATAACGCTCATCACCATCCAACAAGGAAAGGTCTTGATTCAAAAACTGAGATATACCTGTCGAGGACTAGCCACATTTTCAGGATTACAGTCTGGGCTGATGATCCCTACTCCTCCCAATCCGAGTCGACTTGCGGGGAAAGCACAAACACGAACCTGTTGAGAAGTAAAGAGAGCTATATCATAACTTTTAAAGCATAAATGGCAATTAAACCAAAGAGGAAGTTGATATGAGAAGCTCAACAGGTTGCTACTGAAATTTTTCAGCAATAAACTCAACAATCACCCCCTCAAATCACGGATCGTAGTACAGCCAGCCATATTTATGACGCAGCACCAGAAGACAGAATAGTACTATTGATGACTTTAAAGCACACTGGTGCATAGAAGAGGGAGGGAAGAGGGAGAAAAAGAGAGCAACAGGGGAGAAGGAGAGACAAGGGAGAGAAAGAAGATAGATAGATGAGAGAGAGAAAAGGGAGATAGAGAGAGGCTCAACTATTATCATTCAAAACCCTGATCACAATAACTCCTCTTGTGCCCTTTTATATACCATGATCCCCAACACCCAATTGACTAACATAACTACCCATTAACCATTAACTAACTTCCTCTTCATTTATTTGTTACATAACAACATTGAAAACTTATCCCAAAATCACCATTATAGTTGGAATTGAAGTAGAAACAAAAGCGGAGATATTAAGGGTGAAAAAGGCTTTGATTTGTTGACATTTGCATTGTTACCAGAAGATATCAAAAGATACTCCCCCGGTCTTAAATATAGGGTTTAAAATATAAGTCATCTCTATATAATTAAATATTCATTTTCCACAAATACCCCCGATTTAAAATTTAAAATTTTGGAATCAACAAATAAAAGAGAAGCAGTAAACCACTTTTACAGTTTGATTCATTATTTATCAACGGCAAACTTAAAAAGAAATCAATTTAGAACACATTTAATGAGAAAATCCAACTTTAACCACTTTTCTTGATGTGTGAGGTAGGTAATTGTGACTCGTATTAAACTTGAATATACATCTTCCCCACACCAACCCCACACCCTGTTTTCACTAGTCTACAATACATCTAATGTCCTCTACTTAAATTAATATCAGAATCCGTCATCTGGGGCCGGGGGGGGGGGGGGATCACATTTAACATCTCACATGTCTGGTCAACCAAATCATGGGACTCAATTTTTTTTGAAATTCACTGCATACTATGCAAGTCAAACATTTTTCTTCTTTGGATAGGAATATAAGCCAAACTTTCCATAACCATAAGTTCATCCCTCTCTAATAATCGTTGTAATAGTAGTAGAGAAAGAACTTCATCAAAAAGGGGGAAAAAGCAGTAGAGAAAGAACCATGGCATAAGTTAATATTACCCTGAAAATTGCATTCTTGAATGATCTCTCTAAAACCAAAATTTCCATCCATGAAGTTTACCATGCAATCAACAAACGGCTAGACTACAGAGTTTTTCTATAGAAATTATACCGCAATGTTAAGGCAACCTAGCCTTTAAGAAATTTTTTTACGGAAAATTTTTTCATTCATTGTCCCATTTCACAACCTCATTCACCAACATCACACAAAGTGGCCAACATCAGCAGTGAATGCAATCAATACTTCACATGCGACCAACATGAAGAAATTTTTATCAGTTGGCCCCAATAGAACTTCTCACTAGACAAAATACACACAGAGGAAATAATTAATTAGATAAAGCCTCACAAGGGAATCAACTAGAAAAATTTTATATACCGTTTGTTCAGCAGATGTTGGTGGCATAAACAACATCAAACCACCATCCATGCATAGTCGGTTTCTAAACATTGTTGCTGGTCTTGGTGCAAGATACCTGCAGTGAGATATAACTTACTTTAAGTTTTCTCGACACTTTATAATCTGGGTGAGAAAATAGCTTGCAAACCAAGGTAAAACAGTATATCACTAATAAATCACCCTGGAACAAAGCAAGAAGTAAAAACTGCATTGATAAGATCTTCCCGGGAGTCAAACTGATCCACCAATAAACCCCTAGGTCTCCAAAGAAGCTGTGTCACAGCAACTGCAACAGAAAAGCTGTGACATGAGGTTCATCAAAGCCTTATAAAACCCTAGAACAAGCAAATCTCCTTTTGTTCTTAGCACAAATGAAGTTTCAAGCATCCATTAATAATAACAACTGTTAACAGAAATAGATGGACATGAAATATTACCTCGAACTCTCCCATTGCATCTAATATGAGCATCTTCTGGCAGAGACTTGTCAAGAACATCACGGAGAACAACCTGTGAAGAGAAATATTAAACCACATAAAATTCTATATGAACTTCATAAAGAGATAGCCCACAAGAACACATCTATTGATAGAAATCTTAACATGGCTTCACATAACCAATGACACTTTTATTACATTGTCAGAAGCCGCTTATACACACCATACAGGCTCTCACGTCAGTGTTGCAAAAACCATCCACGATGATTAATATCATAAATTGTAAATGTCTCCAGTCAATATTTGTCTGCAGTGCCAGCCTAACTTGCGGTTTTTCTTAGATCTTGGATCTCCAACTCTAAATCTCATGCATTTCACATGTTATTTATCTGGTTCCATGGCTCTTATCCATTTAAACCTTCCACTGATTTGTGTCCATGACCAACTTAAATTGGGATATCTGCTAAACATGGAATACTTTGAGCCACAAAAGAGATAGACTTCTAGTGTAACAGTAAATTAATATAACAGGACAACCATTCAAAATGGTTAAAGCTCAGGGAATTTATGAACAGTTATGTGGCAAATGGCAACAGAAATATGCAGATTAGAGACCTAAAAAGTTTCCATTCTGCAGTAATTCATTAGTTGCAACACGGATGAACTAGGGAAAGTCAACGTGGATTTTCTGCTCTCAAGATAGCAGTGACAAAACAGAGATAAGGGTTGCTACAAGAGATAAAACCCTCAAGCGAGATCAAAGATTAATAAAGAGTAACGACTCCATAACCTCATACAAAGTTTGAAGAGATATGTACATGAGGAATGATGACGAGTTATAAAGCAGCTAGGCCAAGGAGAACAGTTCACCTTTGTGAAAGTACCAAATCTCTCTATGGCTAAACATAATAGCAAATATCACTTGGCAGGTTAGATATGGGCATGAATCGATAGTTCTGGAAGGATATTAAGCTTGATAATTGTCCTGCATAGATAAACTGATGTCTTGATAATCCAAGCACATAGATACTCATGCTTAAGTCAGTGATTTTGTTTATGAACGTTGAGAGTGTGAGTTAATATACTTAAACTAGCTCTGCCCCATATGGATATCTTAAAGATAAGAGCTGTGGAACCACCTAATTATAAAGATGGTGAAGACAAGTTTATAAGGAAAGTGGAAACAAAGCATCACTGGGAGTTTAGCAGCATCACCAATGTACAAGGTGCTAAGGAACACTAGTAAATCATGATGGGTCTCCATTATGAAAGAAAATGAAGAGTTTGAAAGGACCAAAAAGAATGCAGGTTTTCTTATGGCTAGCACCACGTGAAAGACTCCTAACTTTAGGAATATATTGGATCATAGGAAGCTCCCTGATATGAACAAGATGGAGGAAGCCATAGTACATGTAACAGGGACTGCTTAATCCCAAGCAAGGTCTAGAGGAAACTTCTCCAAACTAGACAGATTACAAAGCTTTAGCAAAAGTAAGTGTTTACTAGCGAATCTGTCAAAGGAAGAGTGAGTGTAAGGATATCACAGAGTACACGTTTTGTCGTCACATCTTGGTGCCTCTGAACACGGAGACATGCTACTATGTTTGAAGAAGGTTTCCAACTACCAGAAAGTGTTGATAGAGCAATTCTCTATGCTCTTCATTTATATGCATAGCAGTGGGAACCATGGCAAACTGATCAATGGTAGGCCTTCAAACACAGCAAGGTGCAGACCCTTGTAGGACGAAGGTGAACATAGATGGGTTAGTGAGGGGTAATAACTATATGGCGGCATGCGGTGGCCTGATTGGGAACAAAGGCAGGAAGTGGATAGGAGAATTCATGCATAGATTGGGCATTTGCATCCCAATTGAAGCAAATCTTCAGAACATAGTAGAAAGCTTCTGATTTATGAAGAACCTAGGCAACAAGAGCTTCAAAGTGGATGGTGACTCACATATGGCTATCACTCGAGGACTTGGCGAACAGCCAAGAGACCAAGAGAAAAATCATGAAAATGAAAATGGAACGCACAGAACCAGACTGGGAGGTTAGGACTACACATGTACCTGGTAAGGGGAACTTGTGTGCGCATCCAATGGCAAACTCTCAGTCGCCAGTATCTACTGGGCCTTAAGCTCCTGAAAGAGGAACCTTTCTAACTAACTAGGCTCATTTGTATGTAGATATCAAGGTATCTCGTAGCCCTCAGGGAGCTTAGTCTTCGATTGTTTTGGCCTGTGGCCCTATGTGTTATCCAGGAGGGGGGAAAAAAGAGTAATGATTCGGAAGTAATTTATTCAAGGTGGTTTTGAGCTGTATTGTCATGGATATATGAAGTTTCAAAACAAGAGGGTAAATTGGCATTGTTAACTTACAGATAGCACCGAGAATAAGTTAAATACTTTCAGAAGAAAAAGCATACCCCCAGTCGAAATGCAGTACCCTGTTTCCGACAATCCTCAGCCAATATTTTAGTGACTTTCAAGGCTTCTTCCATACTTGTTCCCGAAGCAATAGCTACACAAACTATAGCTCCAGCAGAGGCACCAGCTAATGGCGTGCTTTCCTACATCAACATGGAAGTTACAAACGCAAGGAAATCAGTAAGATATAAAAGTAACGGCAGAAGAAACGAAATTGTGTAGGCACAAGAAAAATCAAGAAAACATATAAAGCCACATGACCAGGAACCAACAAGTCACCATATTCCAGATTGCATGCGTCTTAAAAATTTTCGTTAAACTTATAAAATCTATAAATGAGAATAGAACCTCATGGCCAACTTCAGGCTCAGAGATGACACTTCACAATAACATTAATTCTAACAACATTCTTATTTTGAAAAAGTTGAGCCCAGACGCCCAAGAAACGCTAAATGATCCTCTCCAGCATAAAACCTTACCTTTATGTAACCATTTTCGATGAGAAATTGGGCAACCCCTAGATGGTAAGGGAATAGGAGTCCAGCAGCGGAGAAGCTAAATCCAGGACTCGTTACCAAGCGCCTGCTTCGCTCGACTTCCACATCTTTAACCCTCTGTTCCCACACAACATCTGGCTGAATTTCGTCCTCCATCACAGCCCCGATGTCCTCTTCATTAAGTTTCCTTTTCTCTGTTGAATTCTCAAACATCGCCACGGAACCCGAATCTCCGAAGGGACTTCTTCGCCGTCTCATAAACAGCCGCGACGCCAGGCCTATGAAAAGCTCGCCGGTGGCCACAGCGAGGGATCTTTTCTCGGAAGAAGTAGGAGCAGAACAAGAATCTTTATTAGTAGATGTTTCGGCATCATGTGGGGATGAAGAATTGGCAAAGAAATTTAGTGTTCTGGTGCGCGGGAGGAGCGTATGGCGATGGAGGACAATGGAATTGGGTTTTGGTTTTGCAGAAGCAAAGTAAAGGGTGTGGGAGAGGGACAAGCGCGAAAGAAGAGAAGAAGCCATGAACGAATCAACGAAGTGTTCCTCTGGCCTAATGGCCGTTGTCTGTTGGAAAAGGCCTCTTTTTGGTCGGAAGGCATTTTACGGATTTAGAAGAGTAAAGCCAAAAATGGCACAGGAGAAAGGGATGAAAGAAAAATAAAGAGGAAAGAAAACTCCCAAAAAGCGACCATGCAACGGTTCATCTGTAGTTTCCTACGTCCTACGATCATGACAACTGCCATGGAACAAGTGGTGGGAAAATTTCATTGAAGTCTCAAAATCTACATTTTTTTAAAAATCCCTACAAAAATATATTATGATTTGTTTTTTAAATATTATCAATTACTACTTACCCTAGTTGAAATCAAATCTCTTGTGTGTGTTGTGTTGGAAATTGTGCCCTAGGGGCCAATCATTATATTTTGAACATTGTTAATTTATGAATTTATTAATTACGTTATCATATTATTTGCATGTTTACTGTGATGACTATCCTTGGATAACTCATGGTTTATCCTAAATGTCCCTGGTCGGTCATCTATGTGGGAGCAGAGATGAAATAAGACCAGTATGACTTTAAAGATATATAGAGATATAAATTAAAGTCATAGGCACATGTAAGAGTACAAGGTGTTGGACCGACCCGCTATGAGAGAGCTGCATGGGTTAAGTCATAAGCTTATCTCATATATAAACCATGTCACTGTGCCCTTTGACCTGAGATCATCATGGATTCCTACATGAGAAACGCTTAGCTTTGACCTAGTCAAAAGTCACTTTTGACCGAGTGATCATAAAGACTATGTTCAGGCTTAGTGGTTTTTCATGCGGAGGAATGTGAATGGTCAAGATGGAATTTGTCCCTCACATTTGTAGAGAGATATTACTGGGCCCCTCGATAAGTGAGTCTGAGAAATGTATGGCCATACTATAATGGAAAGGTAGTTCCGTTTCTATACTCAGACTACTCAGGGATCGAGAAAGTAACGGTCATGAATAGGAGGATGGCGTTCTCCATGCCTCATCCATGACCAAAATGTCGTGTGACAAAAGGGACGCGATATGCTTCTATGAAAGGTTACATCGTTTAACGATCCTCATATGATTTGGGTAGTCGTGATGTCTTGCTAGAGACCGCTTACGACTTGTGAGTCATTATAGTTAATGGCCCACTGTCAACTTCATATGGGCCTACAGGGTCGCACACAAAATAGCTCAACACGAGTTATGATGTCCAAATTCATTGAATCTAAGATATGTCCAGATTCAATAAATAATATAGAGTGGACGTGTATATATATATATAAATTCGTATATATATTATATAAATATAAGAGATATTAATTGTTAGATTTAATTTATAAGGATAAATTAAATCTATATAAATTAATTCGGTCATATCTTCATTTTGAATTAAATAAATAGGTGAATTAAATCTGTGAGACGGATTTAATATAAACCATATTTATTTAATTGATCTCTTATCTGATTAGGCAATATTTGATATTGTATTAATTTCGGAATTAATTTAGGATTAATTTCGAAATTAAATATCATTCATTAAACCTATAGCATCCTATATATTTGATATGAGGAGCTAGGGTTTTATGCGTGAGAGTACTAGCAGATAAGAGACGGCCTAAGAGAGATAAAAGTGGACGGATTCTCTGAAAACCCTAGACGGACAAAAGGGCGCTAGCACGCCATTTGTGACTGGAGAGCTATTCGTGTGGATACGGGTAGAGGAAGCTGACCGGAGTTGTCGACTTCGAACGATAAAGGAGGTGAGCAGAGGCATCATGAACGGCGGAATCACCGAGCCACCTGGAAATCGAACACCGAAGGTAATGCTTCTTACTACCTGACTTAAACGCGATCGGTAGATCCGGGCAAGGGGTTGAAAGTTTTAAAATTTTAAGTTGATTTCCGTTGCGCGTCGTCTTTCAATTCCCTTCATGTTGATGCTATTTAACGGGAAGCATGCGAGAGATTCATTGAGGGAATATTTGGATAGAATCTAAACCGTGATTTCAAAAATAATTTTGTAGTATGTAAAATAAATATATAAAAGAGTTTATTTCAATTTATAAAAAAACACTTTTTAAATTCACTTTTTTAAAATATCAAACACTCGTGAAACGATTGAAAATAACAAGTAGCAACACAGGCTAACAATTGGGAAAGTCACATCAAACCTTATTTCATGTATAATTCCACGCAAGCATGAATGTGTTTTCTTAAATAGTCATTTTTGTTCCAAAATTTTTTGAAAGAATAATATCACCATAAAAGTTTTAATAAAGAAGCAATGTTAGCTCAAACTTGACAACAAATGGGAAAAAAACATATGAAAGGCCCCTAAAAATACATACTCCATTTAGTTCAAAATATAAAATAAATTTTGTCAGAAAGGGTTTGGTTTTTTTAAAGACAATATTTCAGTTTTATCTAAACATTCAATGAATTTTTTTCTAAATTTACCCCTAATATAGATTCTCTTTCTTCTTTTTTTCATTTGCTGCTTCTTCTACTTATTTTTTCATTAATAAGGGTGTATTTAGGAGAAAAAAATATATGCCTTATATATTTATTATTTTAAAATGATTTTAATTTATTCTTAGTAAATATAAATCAATTGATTTTATTTTATATTTTAAATCGAAGGAATTAACAAAATTCATGACCAGGACAATCAATAGCTCACCCTATAGTCTATTTCTTTTTCATTTAGTACCACTACAAAACAAGTTAAATTCTTCAAAATTAAACATGAATTTCCAACTCTTATAATTTAATTCATCTAATTAAATTTTGTATACAATTCTGATGTAATTATCTTTTAGTGTTCTAGTGGGTATCACAAGTGCATCAAGATAGCATATATATGGACATGGAGTGAGCTCAAGATGATTCCAAGATGTTAATTGTAAGATATGAATGCAAGTTTCATCGTGCAAAGAGCTGATTATTATTTTGGTGTTTGTTTTTCACATGCTTTATATATAATATCTATAATTCACTTTGTTTTGCGTTTTAATCGGTCTTTTATATACCTTTTTTTTCCCGTTCCGTTGATAAATTTGGGCAATATTGTTTTTTTAATACTACCAAGGCCACATTACTCTTTCACAAAAACATAGGTAAAAATGATCCAACTAAAAACCACAATCCTGACCAAATGAAATCGTAAGTGGCATATAGCTATAGTTAGAATAAGGTGGCATTGCTTTCACTAATACTTCTAGTGAAAGATTGAACCCAAAAAAGAGTTGATATCCAAAACTTCTATGCAAAAACTTTTGGCACCGTATTTATATTATTTTAATAAATATTTAAAATAATAAAATTAACAAAGTTTTCTTGTTTTATCGTTGGGGCAAAAAATAGATCACAATGGACCAAGTTGTGTTTGGGCTAATTTCAAGAATGGGCCGGCACCATTGCATATGTTCACAAAGTCACATAGGAAAATTGGGAAGACAACATTATCAACGTGACGAACCAAGGTTCAAATCCCCATTAAAATGTGTCTATATTTAGTCCATGATAGTATCTCAAATAGAATTACCTCTAATAGAATGATATCTATGTTTTAATATAAAAAAAGATCAATGCTCTCAACCAACAATTAAATGTCGGGCTCAGTGGAAGAAAATAATTCTTCAAAACATGAAAAATCTTCTAATTCCTATTAAAAAAGATGTTCACATTTAATGCTTGATAGTATGTTTACTAGAATTGTCTCTAACAGGAATATATCAATCGATGTCTTCGAATGTTTCTTCTACTTCATTTGATATTTTTCCCTTTCCCTTTACGCTTTTGCTCAGATGCTTTGCTTTGATTAGGGGCCAAACTTACTGTGTTTTGCTTCCCAAGTAAGCATCACATATAAATTTACACTGACGTTGATGGTCCCATCGTGTAAATTTTTCTCAATTATCCTTTATGAATTAAAACAAATGATCTATACTTATTAGAATTTGTTACTTGTTTGGTCCACATATTATTTATATGTTGAATGCAGGAATTGCGTGATTAAAAGAGAATACTTGATAGACTCATAAATCATTTATGATTGTAATATTAAAAAGAAAACACATCATGTCTTTCTTGGCTATAGCATTCCAAAATCCACGATTTTTCTGCAATGTCCACTACCTGAGTTTGGGTTTTGCCTCGTGAATTTTTCTTAAAGCAAGACCTATTTGATAGTACAAATTATATTTTTATAGGAAAATCTTTGTATCGCTTGAGTCCCAAATATAAAACTTATTTTATATTATATTACACTGCAAAATGAGCCTTATTTTTAGGATTGGAGTAATACAAAAATTTCCTTATAAAAGAATTATTATGTAAAAATCAAGCTATGACGGGCCTCTCATTCATGTCTAAGAGCTTCTCTCTATTGGACATAAGGGTGAAAACAGGTCAGGCTAGGCTAAACCTTGCTTTTAACAGGTCAGGCCTGTTTTAGAGCTTATTAGCCTAAACCTGACCTATGGCCTGTTACAACTTATTTTTCAGCTTTAGCCTGGCCTGTATAAAGGTTTGGTCTGACTTGAAACCTATTAAAAATCCTACATTTTTAAAAAAATTCAAATTACAATTATATTTTTTAATTAAAAAAAGATAAGATTAAAAAAAAGTACATAATAAATAATTTTTTAGTCTTGTCTTTTATTTAAATTTTAGTATCATAACTCATAAGTATTATTTTAAATCTTAATTATAATTTACAAGGATATTATTGAAAACTAGTTGTAATCATATGTTAAAATTTGGCATAAGGGTTTAAGTACACACAAAAAATTTAAATTAAGACAAATAAATAAAGAGAAAAAAAACTACTAATTTTATAACGAATAAAGAGGGTATCATACTTAAATTAACATAATACATAAGTTAGTTAATTTATCATTCTTGGAACCAAATTTTTCTTTCCTATTTTCTTGATATTTTTAAGATTTAAAGATCACATTATTTATGGATATTATTATTTTAAATTATATTTTTATCTTCACTTGTCAACTAAACTTCAAAATCTAATAAAAGATTAAGCTATTAACTATATATTAAAATTAAAAG